AAAAATATCACCCAGCCATTAGTCAACTACACTGCAATTGGATGTTGAAAGACTGCCGAACACTTCCCAATTAATTTTCCTTTTAAGTATGGAATGTCTAACTCCGCTGATCTTGATTTCCGTTGTGTACTCGCGTTGTAACACGTAACGGATGAGAGAAACTGTTGGCTATCGCCTAAACAGGCCGATACAATCCAACCAACAACAAATAAAAACACGCCAGATTACTGGCCAACGAGTTAGGAAACTCATCGATACGACTTAACTACACGTCCACGTGCGTACTAACTTAGGTGCCGGTAGTGCCGGACACGACGACTAAGATTGCCGTAGGCCATGCGATGAGAGGGGATGGGTGGGTGATTAAAAGCTACGTGGAGCTTGACCAGGCACGTAACTTTTGAACACTCACTCAGTTGTGTTCTTTCGTGTCCCGCGTTTTAGAAATAAGTTCATAAGCAATCTGGCAACATTGCTTTCACTTAGTTTGTATATTTAAAAGGGAGAGCATTGAAGTCATTCTTAAGGCTTATGAATTCCACACGTTGCATTTAAAGTTATGATTGGAGGTGAAAAATGGGTGCTGATATTTTTATAACTAGGTGTATTTTTCCTCTCGCCTAGATATATACATGCCTATAACATTCAAAATACTACAAAAATTGTTATCGACCAATCCTATTCTTAATTATATCATTATTTATTAATTAAGCGAAAACCAATTTCTAATTAATAATTTTGTTTATACTTCTCATTAAAAATTGTTATTTTTGATATTTTTATAGTTTCAGAACTATTCCCATCTCACTTCATGTGAAATATCTCTCTATTTCTTTAACTAAATCCGTATCCGCTCCTAGTTTGTACAAAGTTCGAGTATTTCAGGTATCAATAACAAAATACAATTTTTTATTTTCAATCTGTTATATAAATAATTTACTCTGAGGTTTCGTGTAATATTAGGAACACTAGGAAAAATCGAAGATCCGGTGGTGGAAATTAAAAGGGAAAATGAAAAAGAGTTTGTTAAGACGATACAATAGAGGACGGTGTGGAATGTCGAGAGAGACATAAATGAAGTGTGGAATAGATTTGCTAGTTGTGTAAAGAATACTGCAAAGGAGATTGTTGGTGAGTGTAGGAGTAGAATGCTAGGAAACAAGGAAACCTGGTAGTGGGATGAGGACGTTCAAAAAATCATAGAAAGTAAGAAAAAGCAGTTCAAAGTATGGCAGAAGAGCAAAAGGAGAGAAGACTGGATGGAGTATAAACGCTTGTGCAAAGAAGCCAAGTGTTCAGTAAGTAAGGCGAAGTTTAAGAGGTATGATGAGTTGTATGATAGGCTAGTAACAAAGGAAGGTGAGAAAGAAATCTATAGACTTGCAAAGATAAAAGAGAAAAGGTTAAAGATTATCATTATATAAGGTGTATAGAAAGTGTTGATATTAAGGTACTCTCGAGTGATGATGATGTGAAAAAAAGGTGGAGAGTATTTTGAAAAATTACTGAATGAGGAGTATCAAAAGAGACATTAGAGACCAGTCCCTCGTGGAATGAGGGACTGGTAGATTTAATTAGTGAGAAAGAGGTATGGGAGGCTGTGGAATCAATGAAAAAGAATAAAGCAGTAGGACCAGATGAAGTGCTAGTAGAAGTAGGGAAAATATTAGGCGGTGTTGGCATAAGGTGGTTGAAGGAACTTTTTAATAAAATCTTATTAGAAGGGAAAATTCCAAATGAATGGAAGAATAGTATTGTTGTGTCGATATTTAAAGGTAAAGGAGACATACAGGAGTGTGGAAATTATAGAGGCATAAAGCTTATGAATCATAGTATGAAAATTTGAGAAAAGGTAATAGATAAGAGAATAAGAAATGAGACATCGGTATCTGAAAACCAGTTTGGATTTATGCCTGGTAAGTCAACAATGGAGCCAGTATTTTGTGTGAGGCAACTAATAGAAAAGTTTAGGGAAAAGAAGAAAAAGCTGTGTATTGTATTTATAGATTTCGAGAAAGCGTATGATAGAGTACCGAGAGAGGTTTTAAAGTGGGCATTAATGAAAAAAGGAATCCCGAAAAGGTACATTAATTAGCCCTTACTTATTCTCTGTAGTGATGGATGAAATTACTAGAGAAATACAAGGAGAAGTGCCGTGGTGCATGTTGTTTGCTGACGATATAGTGTTAATAGGAGAAATAATGCAGGATGCAGGAGTCACTTCCTACAGGGAGCTTAAAATTATGGCGAATGATAGAGAAAAATGGAGAAGCCATTTATTGTAAAACATTTGTTAAAAACCAATCTTCGGATTGAAAAACAAAAAAAAAATAAGAGGGAGTATAGGTGTAGCGTCAATCGTGGATAAGATGAGAGAAAATAGACTTAGATGGTTTGGTCATGTTATGAGGAGAGAAGAATCAGAAGCTGTAAGAACAGTTATAGAAATGAATGTTGAAGAAAGAAGAGGTAGAGGAAGACCAAAAAAAGAGATGGAGGGATGCTATTGAATGCGATTTGAGGACAGCTGATGTGAGCGTAGATGACGTGGAAGATCGTGTAAAATGGAAGTTTAGGATAAGGGTGGCCGACCCAAGTAGTTGGGATTAAGGCGAGGAAGACGAAGACTCCGAGGTTTCATGTATCAACCCAGAACAGTATTTTATTTGGTGAAATTTACCCTCAGCCTGTTGAAACAGGCTATCCCGCGGTATTGTCATACCAATTAAGGTTAACCTACGGTAATATCTTTTTTATTACTAAAATATATGAGATATTTCAAAAAAATATATAATTAGAAAAAAGTTAAATAACCTTACTGAAAGTGGTTATATAGAGTTATTATATTGAAATACCTCTCATATATCACTACTAGACTTTTTTAATGTTAAGATAATTTAAAAATAATAATTGAGTTCATATGTACGTCCGCCTAAAATTTACTAGCATACTTTTCTTTTTTAGAAAACAGGAGTACAAACTATTTACACAAGAAGGTTTGTTTTTAAACTGCTTTGGAATTTCAATGTTACTATTTACGCTTTCCGTCAGTTTTGCCATATTCAGACTACGTAATTAAGCTCAAATAAAAACTTATCATCTGGATTTGTTGATTTATACATATTTCTATCAACAAATAAATTTTAAACTATTTATTAATTTATTTAAATAACTAAATATAAATTTCACTTAAATTTAACGATACTCTAAATGGTAACCAGTTATAACGTCTTTGTAATTGTATATTTTAATAGTTATCATTATATTTTAACAACTAATTATTATTAGAAATATTTCATTATATTTTTAAAGAAGGGTTGATTTTTCTCATTATATAAAATGAAATTATATTGTGTATAAATATTACACATTATTAATTTATAATTTCTTATGATTAAGTATAGTAAAATTTTTATTATTGGACACTGGTGATGGATTTAAAACAGATAAATAATTTTTATTCAATAGTTTTAAGATAATCACACAAGACTCGTGTACATTACGAGTACATAAAAAAGTGTTCTAAAATAATAAGTTCCTGCTATGTAAAATAATCAATAACATATATTTTAAAACTTAAAAATATAATTTATTTATTATTTTATACATTTAATTAGATTATTCGTTTTATACTTTTGCCAAAATTAAAATTTTTTTAGACTGTGAAAGGTACGTTGTTCAAAAAGTAAGCCTGTATAAAGTGGACTATTAAGTGGCCAATCTAAATAATATAATTACCTATATTACCGTAGAAAAAATTAAGGTATTAATAATTGTATTTCTTGAAAGTTAAAAAATTATCAAATTTAAACGAACTCTACTAGTATGAATGATAAAATGCTTAGATGGATGAGTGGAGCATCCTATCTAAAAAAGATATGATAAGGAACGAACATATAGGAGGGAGCGAAATTTTAAAACGTGTCACTGCTCTTTCAACCTCCCTACCGCCTCTAACTACTATTACCATCTGACTAGTTATCACCATATAACCAACATTATATTTATATATATATTTAATACTGTTATATTTATAGATTTGAAGTATACAAATTTAGTATTGTTATATTTATAGATTTGAGACTATTATATAAATAATATAATATAATAATAGTAATAATAATATAATTTTAATTAAAATTAATATAATGTCATCTGAAACATCTAAAGATGTAAGTAATAAATTGCTTAACAATTTATGAATTTTAACTTAAATCATAAGCTCCATTTCTCCAATCTGATGATATGTGTAACTAGTTTTATACATATAATGGATTGCATCACTTAATTTTAATATATTTGTCTTGAATTTAAGGTTTTTAAATGTATTGAATGTAACTCAACATTTAAATACTGCCACACTCTAAAAAGGCATGTAAAGGAGAAACATAAAGTTTATGATAAAGCTAATAATAATAATATAGTTAACACAAAACCAGTGAAATGTGATCTATGTCATCAAAATTTCACCCAAAGAAAAAATATGTTAAGGCACTTAAGAACTCACATAAAGAAAAAAATGTACTTATTTCAATGTAATAGGTAAATTCCTAGGCAATTTATAATTAAATTATAAAACATTTTTAGATAATTGCAACAGGTTTAAAAGAAACTGAAGTTTCTAAAGGATTCCAAAATAATGAGTTCATTCTGGTAATTAATAGAATATTTACTATAAGAATTCTTTATTTTATGGTATCTATGTAATTAAAAGTATTTTAAAAAAACCTGATTAATATATAAATATATGAATCCAATTTTTAATACCTAAATACATAATATAAAATTGTTACATTATAAGTATTTTATTGTTCAGTTATTTTTTTTATAATTATTTTTAGAGCATACTGCCAACTAATTCTAATTATACATTTTTAAAATTACAAAATATCAGCGATGTGCAATTTACAGCATTATTTTCAATAAGTGATTTTGGCATTGATAATGTTAAACCATGGGTTGAATCTCTAAATGAATCAAGTAGATCAACATACCTTGTAAATAATGTTCGAAAATCAAATTCACCAAGTATCTCATTTAAGGTGACTAAATTAATTTACATACTTCAACTAATATAAATTTCAATATCACTAAGTAATACAAATATTTCTAAATAGTTTAACTTGTGTTCCTTAATTAGATTATTGAAGTATTTATATAATAAAAGGTAAAACCATGTCTAAAGAATGATTTTTAATTAATATAATTATAATGTACAGTATTTATTACTTTGTGTTATTTAATTTTTAAGTTATAATATTTTTCTTATTATAATTTAAGAGACTATGTTTTTTATTTAGTTTAAAAACATTTATAGCTCAATAATAACTTATACTTATACTTATTCATACTTATTCAATTAAATTTTATTATTTCACATGATATATATAATTGTTTTATAATAAAAGTTTAATAATTCTAGACATTTATTGATATCAGAATGTGTTAATAATTCAGTGATAACTAGTCAGATGATAATAGATGATAGAGGCGGTAGGGAGGTTGAAAAAGCCGTGACACGTTTTAAAATTTCGCTAGGAGGGATAGGTTGGGTTAATAATTTTAACTGTATATTTTTATGGTAAAAATTTTTTTTTATCATGCAGTTCATATAGAATTTGACATCGGCGTTACTGCAATCTAGTGACTAAAATCAAGAATAAGTTAATTATATTTTTATAATTAAGGCATAGATTAAATACATCTATGATTAAGGTGTACATTGATGTGTGTATAATGTACGTACTCTTATTCATTGTATACAAGTACGTATATATTTTGTGTAATGAGAATTTTTTGCTTAAAAATTTGAACTTCGCGGATTTTTAGAAATATTTTTAAATAACGAGTTTATCTATTTTTGGATAAGACAATTGTAAAAAAGAAGATTGGTGAAACTGATTATTTTATATTAAAAATTAAAAAAAAAATAAATAAAACTTCATATTAAAATTCAAGTATGATTTCTTAATTTTAAAATTATATAAAATTCTTTTGAAAATATTAAGTAATAATGCAAAAAAACACTTCGTCTTGCGGAATTCAAATCTGTGACCTGTACTTGAATCTGTACGGGAGTCGTACGTATCAATTCGGCACTTCTGCGGCAATAGTCTGCTGCGCCTAATAGAAAATAAAAAGCTTTTTAAGCCAATTTAAATTGTAAAAGTAATTTTTTCTCCGCTTTATGGCAGGACATAACCAAAAAATTACAAATATGTGTCATATTTTATATTCTATATAGATGAGATTCATATAACTTTAGTAAAAATCATCAACCAATTGTCACATCAATACCGTAAAAGACAACATAGAATATTACTATTTCAAAAGTAACTAAATAAAAGAATTCAGCCTTCTCATGTGAGAATATTTGTTTTCAATTAAAAAAATATTCTTTCATGCATATTACATTCAAAATAGCTTCGATATTTCAAATTTACATAGCGTCCCGCGAAGGCTTAATTTTTTTTTTATTAGCAACACTAAAAATCCCAGAGGATAAAATAGTACCTCCTGGTTGCTTTTCGGATATCCTTGGTTGACACCCCTATAAGTTATAAGGTCGGATAATCAAGAAATATATATATATATATATATATAACTAAGAAAAACCAGAACTTTTTTTGATTAATTGACTTATTTTGTGAGTAATTTATTGGTTTATAATAAACGGATCACTTTGTATTTAGGTAAAATTCAAATATAACACGGATCGTTTGCTACATTCTTATTCCGGTCTTGAAGATTATTTTGAAATGATTATCAAGTAATCAGTTTTGTGAAAGCTTAAAAATGTGGTGGCCATAGATCCATGCTAAAGACAACGGGACAAAAATACATATTTTATGTCATTATTGATTAAAGTAAATATAATATAATAATCATTGATTTTATACTTGTATACAATTATAATAAAGTCTATGATATTAATACTATAATTTATACCTTCAGAATCATAGATATATTCACATGATAATATAGCATAGGCAAAACTAGAAAATAAATTTTGTAAGCTAAATTTATTTTTCTTTCACCTTTTTTTATATAACAATATATTTTTATATAAACAATTTCCTTAATTTTGGGTAGCTAAACGTCTTAGCCCCCGTTGCACCTATGAATATATGTTAATGTGATAAGAACGAATATTTTTTGAACCGGATTGATGATAACAAAAAATAGTGGTACCGATTATAAGTCAATGTGTTACATGAATGTGATGAGAGTACTTCATTTACTTTTTGGTAAATAATTTTTATTCAGAGTAAAATTTTGCTTATTTTGGTTCCGTTTACTCAGTGAATTTCTCATAAAATGGCTGGTAGTAGGTTAGAAAAACTTGGTACAATATTTACAAGGTATTATACTTTTATAATTATTAAAATAAATAATTAAGGTTCTTCAATCATAATTAGATTCAAATGGGTTATGATTTAAAATATATTTATACATTCGGATTATATATATATTTCACTTTTGAATCATTAAAGTATAGAAATAAGTTTAAATTTAGTAAAACGTAAAAACTGAAATAAAAAGTATATTAAAACATTTTTTCTAGTAGTAGTTTAACTATTACTACTTCAACATAAATCTTATTATTTTAATTTGAATGGTAACAGTTTATAGGCAGGCAATATATACTAATTATTTAGTTGTATATGTTCTGTATAGTTTTTATTTAAAAAAAAGTTATCAATGAAATTTTTATGTTATCATGGTAAAGCACAATTAGTGAATATGGTGTTATTAACTTAAACATCTTATCCTTACTTTTTAAATATATTAATTTTTAAACTTTTGATTAAACTATCTCGAAATCAATTTTTATCCCTGTGGTTACGCCTGATATGCCTAATTTATTATAGTTATTACCTACCTGGATATTTAAGAAATATTTATACTTTTATATTAATTAAAAATTATTTTTTTACAAATTTAGAGTTAATGGTTTAATTAAATCAGGAGCAATGAAATTGGAAGATCGTCCTTTGTGGTATGATGTATACAGAGCTTTTCCACCTGATTCAGAACCACATTATGCTAAATCACCATTAAATTATGAAATACAAAACATATTTTATCAAGAAGATAAATTTCGTGCGTAAGTAGATTTGATTTAATTTAATTGTACTATGTACTCATGATACCTATAAAAAATGTAAAATTTATGTAAATGTAAGATTTGACAATATCAATTTTTGTATAAGTAACAATTAATTTTAATTTGAGTATTCTATTTTCATTTTAATATGTATAAATTAAAAAATAGTGTACCTAATTAGATTTAGTAATATTGCCATTAATTTTTTTTTTTTTTTTATCTAACTTTTATATTTTAAAGAATATGTTTATATTTTATTAAATTAACTAAAATTGTGTCATATTATTCTATAATATTTTCATATTTGAGGGGTGTCGGATATGTTTTAATATTCAAAAAAGGACTGAAATGGGTAGAGCAAAGAAAAAAAAGTTTATCAAAATTAATTTTTAGGATTTCTATTTTCCATAGGCTCTAGGTATAATGCCTGTAGTGTTACTTACACCTCTACCTCAATTTTTTTTTACATAAATAATATTTGTGTGGCACTTATTTTGTAGTTATTCAAATTTCATGTAAAATAATCTAAATAAGTAATTAGTAATGTAAAAACAGAGATGCTTATATAGCACAATATTTTCAAAAGTTTTAGTCTGTTTATCACAATAGCTAAATATTTTTCCTATTTAATGTAATTATTTTTTTTTTTACAGAAGTTTTCATAAAAAATTAGGTCAATCATTGTTACCACCTATTGATTTAAAAGGACCCGTTGATAAAAACCCAACTAAATTAGCTATTGAAAGGTCATTAGATGATGTTGACGATGTTATTAATAGTTTAAGAAATGATGGAATTTTACCCCAACCATTTATTAATAGATCAGACGGAAGAAGATATCAAAAAATAATAGAAAATTGTAATGAATCAGATATCGCAGGAGAATTCAAAAAATACTTAGCAGAAAAATCATCTAATACAACTAGGACGGATAGTAGTAGTAGTAGTTAATTGAATATTTTCTTTATCAATAGATTATTAATTACCATTAGGAATTTATTTGTTAGAACTTCCATTGATTTCTTATTATAAAGACCAATATCATAATACTTTATATTTATATAATTATCTCTACAAAATATTTGTAAAGGTTAAGATATCAGAAATAATAGCTAGTATAAATATAAAATATGTAATTTATTTGTTCTAATATATATATATACATGAAAAACCTTTAAATAAAATTTATTTAAAATATAGTTATAATAAAACTATCCATCTGTTGAAACTTCAAAAGAATTTAATTTCATCTAACTTGTAACTATTTTTCTTTTATTGTTATAAATAAAAAACTCACAGTACAATATATGCATATATGAGACAAATATAGATTATATCTGACTATCATAAAAAATGCTTTGAAGCATACCTATTAAATTTTAATATGATTAGTAATTTTACCATTTTTTTGTTTAAGAATTTCACTCAAATATAAGTAATTTTATTGTAAAAATGATTAATTTTATTATCTTCTCTTTTAAACCCTTAAATTACTAAGGTTTTTTATTGTATTTTTATAGAAAGCATACTAAAAGAAAGCTTATTGTATTTAGTTTATTCTGTTAAAATTTCATCAGGATCAGAATTTCAAAAGTATAGCAATTTAAATTTTTAAAAACTAAGGATTTTTTTCAAATTTCAACTCGATTAAAATCAGGTTCTTTTGGCGTATTGAATTTAAAAATTAAAGCAGCAAGAAATGAGAATTTTCATGGTCAGACAAAAAAACATACATATCAATATATGTAAATGTCTACTTTTTATATTTGTTTCAAATTTTTACTTTCCCGATATAAAGAGAATTGGTCAGAATTAAAAAAAAAAGTATGTCAAATGAACGGGTATATAAAAATAAATACTTATTAAATAATTTTTTTGTATAAATCCATACATTATTTAAAAAGTTATAGATAGGCAAATACTGTTGAAAACAAAATATAAAATCTGGCATTTTAATACTATAGTAGCATGTTTTTTAACTACGGCAACAATTTGCACATAATGACTGGACACTTTATATTTTTTATTTATAGTATGTTATATCAGCTTTAAAGAAGTCGGCCTGGACTAGTGGGTAGAAACGTATATTTCTGCGCAGGGGGTCTTAAGTTCGATCCCAGTGTGCTGATTTTTCTTGTGGTGTCTGGTATGTGGTGATATTGTACACGTCCTGTCCATCATTGGTCTAGCTATGAATTATCTTTGACTCCCTAACATGTGAAAGGGGATCACCTCATCTTCTGTAACATGTGAAGTTCGAGAAATAGAAGGATGTAAAACTCATCATTATTATAATGGTCTTAGAAGATAATATCAGTGTATTCTATTCCCTTTAAACTCACACAATATGTCGCTTATTGAATCAAAAATATTTTAAATGTTCTCTGCAAATGCACTATTTTTAGGGAAATTTGAAGTTATAAAAGTATATTTTTTATACTTATCCGTATATGATCACAAATTCCCTGAAAAACAGCAATTTTGCGAAGAATATCTGAAACGTTTATCACACAATAAGTGAAACAGTGATAAAAACGAAGTTTGACGACCTTATCTTTTTTTTTAAACAATTAATTGATAATAAATATTTTCATTTTATTGTTGAACTTAATATTTTATAATTTTAATTTATAAATATTGAGTTATTTTTCTTTATATTCATAAGTATTAATTAAAGCAAACTATTATCTTTATATTATTTTAGAAATGATTACAGAACCCCTTGATGTCGGGTATGTGTTTTAACTGTTTAACATACATTTATTTATTTATTCTAAAGAATTTTGATTTTTTTTTTGTAGTTTTACGATCGAAGAATTGGAAACAAATGAAATAAGTGAATATATTTTAAGTCCTGAAAAATATGTTAAATTATTTTCTTCTTATTTGCTAACCAATGAATTATGTTCAGCAAAATTTCTATGGCGTCGTATACCAGAACATATCAAAAGTACACCAGAATTGCAAAAGGTATGGTTAATTGGCAAAGCATTATGGACCAAACAATACACTCATGCCAATGAGTTAATAAATTATAAATGGTCAGATGATTTAGAACCAATTATGAGTGCTCTTAAGAGTCGTTTACAACAAGACACTTTAAAATTTATAAGTACACACTATGAAAATATTCCGTTGGATAAGTTTCAATTATTTATGGGAGTAGATAAAAATCAAGCAGAAAAAATTGTAGACAGTGAAGGATGGACCTGTGAAAATGGATATGTTATTCCAATAGCCATAAGTGAACCTGAATTAGGATTAAGTGGTAGTCATGAAGTTTTAGATAGATTAATTACTTTATCATCATTTACATCATATATTGAAAATTAAGATTTTGTTTATATCTATTAATAAATAAATGAAACCCAGATTTTATAATCTGAACGAATTTGTGAGATGAATTATTACTTTTTCACAAAAATGTATTATTATTATATAAAAATATTTAGTTATTTCTATATAACACATCAATTATAAGTAATAATAATAACAAAGTGTTATTTAATTTTCCTTAAAATTGTATGTTAAAAAATAAGTAAATAAACTTTTATAAAACTTGAGTATACAATTAAAAAAAAAATTTTTTTTATTATATTCATATTGTTTCATTGATAAATTTGTCATGTGTGGTAAAGCACAATCATTTTTTAGCATTTATATCATCTAATAATTGATTGAAAATAATAATTTAAAAAAAACATTGTGATGTATTTAAGACCATCAATTTATATATGAAAAACAATATAGAGCATATATTCCCCACAATGTCTCCTAAATTTCACTTTACGTGATTTTCCCATTTTATCAAAATATTGAGAGAAAATCCCCTTTTTTATAATTAAAAATATTTTTTCAAATTTTAAGAATAATGTCTTCATTTAGATACAAAAAGAAATCTATGACATGATTAAGAAATCTGTAAACAGTTCAAACTAAAATAATAAAACAGTTTACTGTAACATAATTTTAATATTTTAAATATTTATACGGTTAATAGATATAAAAATATAAACATAAGATTAAGGACAGCTGGATAAAATAAAAATGTATTTTAAATAAATAAACCAATATTTGGATATAGAACAAAAATAAAGATGCAATATATTTTACAAATAAATTAAATAATATGCACCAAATTTAAGACTAGCATCATCATTTATAAAACAGTTTAATAGTAAATAAAACATTAAAGCCTATAGATAAAAAAAAATAATTTTATATATAATAAAGTTTAAAGTCCTTTGAATGAAGATAAAAATAAATATAACAACTAATACTATTGTAATAACATATCATTTGAGCAAAATTTGAGTCAATTAGTTAAGCTGAAAACATACAGAAACAGTACGTTGTATTAAAAAATTTTAACGCAATACAAAATACTCACATTAAATTAAGTTTCATATTTTAATACAAAATCATTAAATTTATTTTTAATGTGTTACTTCACACATAAACATTAAAGACATAACATATTTTATATATTTTTAGTCTCTGTAGTATAAGTTGCACAGCGATGTAGTTTGGGGCAGCAATGACTCTTACATATTTTAAGGAGAATAAAAGGGACTTATACTCTTAAAAAATCATTCATTATAACTCAGATTGAATTTATTGCAAATAATTTTACATATTCTCTATTAATTAATAATTTAAACCTATCCGATTCAGTAAAGCTTTAGTGATAAAAGGTAGCAAAAGTACCTTTTTCTATTATTGTAAATATTATTTGATTTTCAAAAAAGGAGCTAAGGTCAATTACAGTAATTTTCAAAAAAGTATTTAAATATTTTGTTTAATGTGTACATATTTTATTAAGAATATTTTTTTAATTACATAAAAAGTTTTCAAAGAATATAAAACACTACTCATATTAAAATATGCAATTAAAAATAGGCATTCAAACTCTTCGATTTGTTTATGGTTTTGATTTTAGAAAACAGATTTAGGTCTTATGAGGTTTTGGTTTTGTATAGAAATAATTGGTTTTCAAAAAAATAGTTTCAACTTTGGAACTAATATATTTTATAAGAAGTTGAAATCATTCAATTTCAGTTTTAAATTAGGTCATTTTAATTGAGAGTTTTAAAACCTGTTTAAAAACATGACCGGTATATGTTATGATTTTATAAACCGGTCTTCATGTAATTTTTATTTCGGATACAGATAAAAAACCATAAAAAAAAATCGGATTTAACCAATTTAAAGTTCTGAATAAAAGTTATAAGTTTCATAAAAAATTTACTGATACTCAATCCAACCATTTGCTTAGATCCAAAGATATACACTAAATATATGAAAGTAATTTAGTATTTGATCTTAACAGTATACACTAAATACTGTATACTGAAGAGTATATGAAAAAAAAATTATGATAAAATTATATTCCAAAAAAAAACAATCATTACTTAACTTACTTCAAGGCTTAAAATTTTCCAAATAACGTTTACTGAAAGCATCAAATTTTTCTAAATTTTCATTATTAACTTTTAACATTTTACAAAAAACAGTAATTTCTCGTTTAAAAAATTCCAATCTAAAAATATTGTAGAGAATAGAAATTGACATATATTTTCAGAAAAATCATAGAATTCATTACTTCTGTAAAGGATATAATGAGTAATATGGTGTATTGTCCAGGTGAATAATTTTACTTCCACAAGTAGGTTTTTTAAAAAATATCACATTTCTTAATGGATCTGTTACAGGTGCGCCACAATTTAACCATGTAGCTGCTATACCAAATTGTACTTCAAATGCCTTTTCAAGTTGTTCTTTGAGATTAATTTTTAATTTCTCAACATCAATAACATTATCACAGATACTTGGATTAACCTATTAGTATTTTATATTTTAATACTGATTTTTCCACCAAAATGTGTTATTAAAATATTTAATCATGATGAGACTTAATTTGTTATTGATGATAAATACTTAAATCATAAAAATATTAAGTTATTGACATACAGATTGGTTGATGTTTTAACAAACAAGCCTAATAATTTTATATCCAGAAAATATTTTGTGTTATTTAAAAAAAAAATTATTTTTATGGTTTTGAACTTCATGAAAATCATATTTTTTATTATTTAAGTAAGTGTAGGATCTAAAATAGTTTTAAGAGTTTCATTGTATATTGAATGATGATATTAATAATTAGTTGTAATTTAACCATCAACTGGTATAGCTGTAATAATTATTATAAAAATGGTCTGATGTGTTGATAAATAACTTTTGAATCAGCAAATATTTTGTGTTATTTATTTTTTTAAAATAATTTATGTAATTTTATATTACATTAAAATAATATTTTTTAATATTTCCTTTTAATAATAAAAAAATAAAAAATTTGTTTAAAATTTAAAAATTTTAGTTTTTAGATTTTTTTTCCAAAAAGTTTTGATGGGTCGATAACAACTTAAGGATAAGTACTTATTGAGTTATAATCATTTTTATACATACAGTATGTATGTAGCGCATTTTTAATGCACATAAACCAATCTGAAGTGTACTTACTATTAGATCTGTATAATAATTATTACAACTATAAATTGATTACCAGTTAATGGTTAAGGTACAACTAATTACTACTTTTATCATTAAAGATACAACAAAACTTAATACTATTTTAGATTCTACTCTTACTTCTTAAGGACTGTCATAAATTTGTTACTTAAATAATGTTTTAATAATAGAAATATTAAATAATGTATATTTTATACAAACATATTTACTTACAAAATTTAAATTGTAAGACCCCACAAATTTATATAAATGTCTAGTTAGTAATCTATTAAGTAAACTTCGTGCTTCTTCTAAATTAGGGTCAACACTATACTGAATATCATAGAGAATATGATCTGTAAGTCGTGACATGGCATCAATATTTGTATGAGCTTCAGTCAAAGAATACCTGCACAATAAATTTTAAAAAAGTTTGTCTAAAATTTTCTTAATAATAGTAAATTTACAGATAATTTAGAAGTTATTCATAAATTATTTACAAATCATCACACACAGCTAATTTTATACTTAAAATTGAACTTCTTTGGCAGTTTTTTAATGGTTTTACACATAATAAAAAATTAGTATATATCAGAGAGCTGATCACTATTTTATTTTTTTTTAAATAATAGTTCTTTGTTGAGATGCTTTATACAATAAAAAAACATTTTTCTGCTATCATCCCTTATATACAGCATCTTTATTGTATCGTGATTCAATAAAATACATCATGATAGGGTGTACAGCTTATCGTATTCTCAATTATTATAGTAATCCTCCCACATCTAACTGTTAGAGTCAACATTTTTCAGTGTAATAACCAAGAGTTCCCCTCTTCTAGGGGAAATCTTCCTCTAGAAAGTTATGACATTTCATGTCATATTTAAATTGTTATAATATAAAAAAAAATTCAGTTGGTAAAAAATAATATAGTACTACATAGTATTGAGCAGTAATGTTTAGTTAATAACTTACTTTGTACCACATGGGGTTTGCACAGTACAACATTTTTCAGCTTTTAAAAGTATATCAATCAACCTTAATAAAATAAAAATTGAATTAATTTTTATACTTTGAAAATTTAAGGTTAAAAACAAGTTCTTTTTAAATACATCAAGTGGCCTGTATGGTTCAGTTTGCAAAATATCATCTTGCACTTTGGTGCCAAGATATCAGGTTAGATACCATTCTAGTGAACTTTATAGATTTTCCTGTTTTTTTTTTCATGAGCATTAGGTTATTTATTAGAGAGATTAATTATTAAAAAGACAGCAAAACTTTTAAGATTTTCCACATATATTCTGATCAATAAATGAAGAAGAATAAGCTACCTTATATGTTTTATATTTTGAAAGATATGGAGACTGGGCTAACCCTAAAATTTGCAGAGATCAAAACATAACTCTAATAACGAGCCTAGAAAAGATTTGATGTTTTGCACAAAGATCATTTCACTCCCATAACTCAGTAAACTCTCTCATTTCATAATGTAGATAAACATAAAGTATCTTTTCATCTACAACTTTTACTAGTACCTCACCTAAATTATAGTATACATTCTATTTAATAAATATTGAAGACCATTCACTTATATTGTCATAGTTTATACAGTATAAGTATTTCTTCATTGATTTTATTTAACTAGTAATTATCAAATAAAAATTTGAATTAAATTTGAAATATATGTAAATTTTTGTAATCAAAGAAAACATAAGATATTTTAAGTGAGTGAGCATGGGTTCCAAACAAATAATCCAAGGCGTAGACCCCACTTGCATTGGTCTTAGGATAGTCCTGTGTGGAGGTGCAAACAATAAAATTTAATAATTTTATGGATTATAAAAATATGTGAGTTACTAATAATTAGTAACTATTTAGTGATTTTTACTCATTCATGATGTTGTTACGAACAACTTATTCGTCCATCACCAACATTAACAATTAACAACTATATTAGTGCCTGATCAGCACAAACGACCCTACAGCTCAACTATGAGTACCTGGCGCCTCCACCAGACTGCAACGTGCTTTCCCACTAGGGTTCTAACAGTTCTCTAAGCTGTACCTAGGGGTAACGCTGGCCCTATATAATTTATTCCCATTAAGATTCATAATCTATATTCTAAGGGCAGTTAGCGGTTTTGTGACCAAATATAGATTCTCAACTAACAACGATAACAAGCATTTATTTCTATATAATATTATATAAATATAACCTGACTGGATCTCTAGAGATGTTGGTGGTATCCAAGTTAAGTGAGCGATGGCGGCGAGTGTACACAACCCGAAATAATAACAACAATAATAATAATATTAAGTAAACAATAATAGTATTTAATTTAATAACCACAATAATACTGTTAGAGTTAAGATATCAGATCAATAAAGGTAAGTTACTGAAAGCGTGAAAAAATGTCGACTGCCTGTGTTATGTTTTTAATTAACTTAAGAAAAGTGTGTAATCGGTTTATTTACACCCATACGTCGCATACTCATAGTTGAGTTGTAGGGTCGATTGTGCTGATCAGGTACTAGTAGTTGTTAATTGTTAATGTTGGTGAATGATGAATAATCTGTCCATAACAATAATGAGTTTTGTTAATGAATCACTGCATATCAATAATTTTATTATTTATATATAAATTTTACTAACATAATTTCAGTATTTTGAACTGCCCTATGTTGATAGGCTCTCAAATGTAAATCAGATCTTACTCTATACATGTCATAGATATTTCTAGCTTCCTTATTTCTAAAAGCGATTACTTTTTTGGATGGATTAGAGTTAGGATCAACGACAACCATAGAAAACTGTATTAATCTTTTGTAATCAAATGATATACTTAAATTTAACGATTTGCCATCTCGTAAAAAATAATCCCATTTGTCAACATCAATACCATTGTCTTTGTTCGATATGATCTACAAAAGGATATATATTTAACAACATACTATAAATCAAAATTTGTTAAATTTATAATTTTTTTTACTTGATATAAAAAATATTTTTCACTAGGTAAAATTTTACCATATCCACGAATAAATTCACATATTAATTCTATATGATATGATTCGTCGAGACCATATCGTTTAAACTCTTTCATTAAATCATACTTTTGGATTATATACTTAAGCATTTGAATTGAACATTCTTCATGCTATATAATATAGAAATAAAAATGATCAGTTTTTTAACACTTTACCTTAAGTCTTGAAATTTGTATACATTACAATCAACAAATTGGTAAATTTAATTAAATTAAATTTTTAAATATTGATAACATTTATAAATTAATTTAAATTATTATCCAAAATTTTTATTATGATTAAATAAAATTTATACTAATATAATTTTGTTTAGTTTAAACTTAAATTATATACCTTCCAATTTATTCCAGCAGTAGTTAAAAACCTTTCCCAAGTATGAGAAAAAGGTCCATGGCCTATATCATGACAAAGACCAGCTAATTTAACACATAATATTTCTTCTTCTGTTACAAAAATTTCATTATTACAGTTTTTACATAAAGCATTTAACATTTCACCAGCTAAATGACAAACCCTTTGAAATAAATTTAAATTAATTAGTTTTACTATATAATAACAACTTAATGAGGGTTAAAAATAAATAATTATATGCAGAAAATAACTACCCTAATGAGTGTTCAAATCGATTAATGCTTGCACATGGATAAACTAGATATGTAGTTCCCAATTGTTTTATATTTCGTAAACGTTGGAATTCTGGAGTATCAATGATAGCAACACATAATGGATGGAGAATTATGTGTCCGTGTATATTATCATTAAATACTTTTTCAAAGCCAATTATCTCCATTGTATTTAAATTACTTTGCAGCTAACTTTGAGTATTGTTAACGAACAGTATTTTATAGTACATGGAAATATACCCAAACTCTTCTAAACCAATAAAACAAATGATAATTCTTCTAAATTTAATTCTTTGAACTGATTGTCTCTCGGAAATAATTATGTAACTATCGTCGGCAAAATTACTATTCTGTAAAAATGTATTTAAATGGTAATGCTAATGCTAATTATGAGAATAAGGAGACATCTAAAAGTTATAAGTAGCTATGGAGACTGAAATTTAGAATGAGGTCCACATAGTTTATTATACTTATATACATACAAGCGTCCTACATGAACTATTCGGAATTACAATTTTTTTGTGGAGGCTATAGAGATTGTATTTAAAATTGGAGTCAAAACATACATAAATTATGATAATTTGATAAGAAACCTTGATAATGATTATGTGATTATAGAGATATGATAATAATTAATTTATCTAGGTTTTATTTTTGCTTTAGATTTCAGACAAAAATATTTAATAAAAAAATTACTAAGTATTATATACGCCAAAAATATATTTGGGTACTATATCAATTCAATATTTTATTCTTAAAAAATTAGAACAATAATTCAAAAATCAACACAGTATTTTTTCTTGTAAAAAATCTTATGTGTTATAATTTTTATTACATAATTTATTTGAATCGGGAATTATATAAATATATTAAATCAAATATTGTATTCTCATTAGTAACTAGTAATTTTAGACTATAACTTTATACTTTTTTATCATCAGTAGGTATTTCTTAGGAGATTTCTTCTTCCCACTTAACCCATCAACACCTGGCGTCCCCATATGGTGACATTCGTATTGCTATTTTTATCGCGCGTTCTTAGAATAATAATTTAATAGGTAAAAGCCGAGTGTACCCATATGGTGACACTCAATATCTCAGAAATCGTATTTTCAAAAAATTTAAAAATAATTTTTTTTTATTTTGTGTTGTATATTAATCTGTTTTTAGTAAAAAAAATAGAAAGTTTGAAAAAAAATAATTCTCGGCGTTGATGGGTTAAATATAAAAATACTGATGGTTTCCGAAGTATTGGTTAAAATGAAAGTTGTCCACTAAGTATTTTCTTAATTAGCATTCTCAATATGCATTTTACTGTTTATAAAACTCATGTTTATACGAATTTAAAGGAAATAGTTCTACTTTCTATAAGCATTTTTTAGATTTGAACCCCCCTCGTATATAGGGAAATGGTCAAATTTAAAAAAACAGTATGTCGAATGAAAGATGTATATAAATGCTACTTCTCATGAAAATATTGAATTGATCCATACTTTTTTCATAAAGTTATAGCATAATAAAGTTTAAAATGTAAAATACAAAATAGAGAATTTTCACACAAAAATAGCATTCACTAGCTATTTTCACCGTGAAGATAAAATAAAGTCCGAAATTCATTTTATTAATAGAATTTCGTACTTGAATGAAAATTGTCTAACGTAAAAATAAATTATTAAAATCCAGACCCTAGTTAGTAATTAGATATCTTTTATAAATTGTTAACATTTATTCTTACTTATACACTCGCTATCAATCGAACTCATAAATCAGTTTGTTTTAGACACTCAATTAGAATAACCTTAAAATAATTAAATTTATTATTTTAATATTAAGTTATGTATTTTATGTGTGCAAAAAATCATAAAATCATAATTAAATAAAAACGCACGTTCAATTTACCTAATATGATAGGCTATATAACTAAAATGTTATAATTATTAAGTAAATGTGTACCACCACTAACAAATTTTAAAGCCCTGAGAAATAATTACAATGTTAATGACTTCACGTAGCATATTAATAATTTTGTTGTGTTGAAATACAAATAAACAAAAATATTAAATAAGACTTAGTTCTGATAAAAGAATTTTACAAATGACAAAATATCTTAAGGCTGGTTTTTATTACTTTCTTTTACGTATTTTTTTCAAGTAAAACCGTTTAATACCATTAAGTTTACCTAATTGCATTATAAAATAACTATGAGAAAAATACTTCTTTGAAATACGTTAATTATTATTATGCAAAACATTTCGATTTAATTCTGTGAAATTTCACAATAATTTGTATAATAAATTTTTTTCAAACAAAATATATTACTTGCTTGGAGGTTGGTCTCTTTAAACTCTTTCTGTACTTAGGTTTTTCATTGAATTTTCATAAAATTTATACCAAAGAAAGTTTAATGTCTCTAGTTTATTGCATTGAAGTTTTATGTTTTCTGTTTATTGTCAAAGGATTATGTTTTAATAAAGGTTATAGCAGTTTTAAAATGTAGACAATTTTTTTTGAAAATACTGTTTTTAATGGTAGCGTAGTTTTCTTAGTCATCGTATTATAATTAGAAAAGATACGTTAAAAAAGGTTAAATAGAATTATGAATAGCACTTGTTCAAGGGGTATGTCATAACCCCTTGACACATCCTTTAAATACGCTTCTGAATAACGTGTGCATGAAACTGGGGACGAAAATTATTTATCTCGTAAGATAACAAGTCAAAAATTCTGTATTTTTTGTTATTAAGTTGCTCGCAAAAATAAGAGTGACAATGCTATCCCAGGTACACAACATATTCAACTTAATATCATCAGTCTGATGATATTTGTTTCGTCAAATAAAAAGCTGGGATTGGACACTAAACAGAAAACTAAAGAAAATAAAAAAGCTATACGACCAATTTATAGTAGATATTAATTGAGACCTTATAAGGTGCCTGTAAGATATAAGCAAGACAAGAAAGTGTTATAATTATAACATTAAAAACGAAAAATTTTGTCAAAACATATTCAAAAAACCAAAATTAATGTAATATTAATAGATGTAAAATATTGTTACACATAATACATATAATACATTATAATAAAACAATTTTAAATAAAAATATATAAATATTATTTTCAGACGTTATATATAAAAAAAATTATGTAAAAAAAAAAAGAAAGTTGACTGCCACAACTAATGGCAGTGAATTATTTTTCGATCCTTTTTAATGTTAAACGTAAAAATATTATAACATTAAAACGTTAAACAAAAAAAATTGAATAACTTTAAAATTTAAATTTATAAAATTTTAAATGTATAAGCTTAATGATGATATAATATATTTAAATGTGTAAACAAAATTTTTTTTCATTCTGACTCTGGAAGAAAATGAAGTTTTGAAAGTTGTGTATTGCTTCAAGATCAAAGTTCTTTGAAAAGTTTTAACATAATATTAGATTTATATTCAATAAATTATGAAAAAGTCGAATTTTTTAGATTAATTCTGTAGATATAAATACATATATACAATGTAAATGTATATGCATTACATTATATGAACAAATACAAACTATAGAATAATTATATACTATAGTCAGTTAAAAAAAAAACCCAGCACAGAGGGGGTCGCGGCACAGTGGTGCCGTGGTATAGTTGGATCAAGTATAATGATATCTGACAGTGATTAAAATCACTATCAAAAATAAACGCTTCGATACAAATCTTTAGATAGTGTTTAATTTTAAAAAAATTGGTGTTTTATTCCAAAAGCTACTTGATCTGCTGGTTCCTTATTAATATCTCGATTAAGATAAAGTATGTCGAATGAAAAAGGGTTTATTAAAAAATATTATTTGTCATAAAAAAATTGTGTGGATCCATAAGCTTTTCAATAAGTTATAGCATTATAAAGTTAAATATAATATAAAAAATAAAATCGAGAATTTTCACACGAAAATAGCATTCGGTAGCCATTTTCGCCGTGAAGACAAGTCCAGAGGTCAAATTTTTTTTTTTAATTAAAGTATATTACATTAGCATTAATTTAAGATATTTATAAAAGTGGCAGACCTTCATGAACATTTTCAAAAGTTAAGTTGAAAAAGTTGTCATTTTAAATCCCCCCCTGTGGGCAGATAAAGGGTCAGATTTACAAAAAAAATATACCAAATGATAAGTAAAGACATCAAGCATCTATATAAAAAAAAATTATATTGATATGTTCATTTTTGAAAAAGTTACGGCACATTTTAGTAAAAAAAATTGAAAAAATTTCGAAAATTAGCGATTTTTAAATTTGTAATTTTTTTGGAGGTTTCCCCCATTTACGGGGAACGGGGGAATTTTTTTCAAATTTTAAGGGTAATGTCTTCTACTAGATTCGATTTGTGTTATTTTATCGTATCGTTTAAAGAAATCGGTCCAGTGAGAGTTGAGAAAAAGTGGTAACAGACACAAAAAAAAAAAAACACATCATAGTAAAACCAATACCTTCTCAGCTTCGCATCGAAGCTAAAAATCTGAATTCAACACTACTAATGTTTTGTGATATTTAATATATCTTAATGTTACCACAGCCTTTATGAAAAAAAGACATTAACAGTCTGGTTAATTCTTCGACCTCAAATTATTTCGATTTCATTATTTTCTAGAAAATGCAGTTATGACATATAAGATCCAATAAACAATATTTAATAACCTAAGGATTTACACCTTAATTAGTTTTAATCTCTTAGAAAAAATGATTTTCAGTAGGGCTTAAAGTCTGGAAGATATTTTACTCTAATTTTACAAGAAATTGCTTGTAGTGAGAAAAAAATCTCTTATTAAGGTGATTTTACCGATTAAAAGAAAAATAGACTTGCATTTTTGAATTTAAATTAATATAGTCACTTTGTCGACTATATTAATTTAAACAGTTGCCGTGAGAAGTTTATGCTCCATAACTTCCGGTTCTGTTACCTATGATGAATTAATAACATTTAAATATAATAATCTTCAGAAGTTCAATAAAAATAGTTTTGAAATCTAAAATAAACAATTATGTAACACATTTTGTGTAGTTACTGGCGAAAGTCTGATTTATAAATTTTAGGTTATGTTTAAAGTTCAGATAAAAGTAATCACATTTTCGTTCTCACTACTAACCGGTGCATTTGTTGATTGGCAATATCACTTTTCCTTAGATATGTTTAATTTTTTATTCTGTTCAATTAAATGCCAATTATTTCTTTTGTAATCCGTTATCTTTTATCAATCTTCTCTAAATCACGCAAGAGATCTGTTATTTACACGTGGTTCAATTTACACCAATAAGTAAAAATACATTTTTCATTCTTTTTAAGGCAACTTAAAATTGTAAATCATTTTAGTAATAGATTCAATTATGGCTAGTGTACTTGTTGTTGGTGGCGGAGGTCGAGAAAATGCCATTGCTTGGAAACTTTCATTATCTACTCAAGTAAAGTACATTTTTATACGTGAACTTATAAATTTAGTGAATTAAAATTATAAAGAGTGAATTATTGATTTAATAAGTAAATTATAGCTAGAAATTATTTTGTACTAAATTATATTATGACCTAAGATGTTTTTTATACTTACAATTTAAAAGATAATATTATCCTTGTGTATTAATTATTAAACTAATTTCTTTAGGTAAAAAAAATTTATATAACACCCTATAATATTGGAGCGGCTCTTTTGCCTCAGGTTGAGTCAGTTGATTTAGATATTAGTAATTTTAAGGTATGTTTCATTATTTAAAAATATATTTTAGAAAATGTAATTGTTTTAATTAACTTAATTTAATTGGATTTCAGTATTAAAAACTTAAAAATAATGTTATTGTTTGCAATACTTTCAGTTGTTATTAAATTTATTTGTTTAAATTGTTATATATATTATGATCATAATTTTTTTTTCCAATAATTTCTATAGTCCAAATTATTTATTAATTTTATACTTGCATATCAAATTAATTTTTTTAGGTTTTAGCTGAATGGTGTATTCAAAAATGCATTGATTTAGTTGTTGTTGGACCAGAAGATCCACTTGCATCAGGAATTGCTGATATATTAGCTATTCATAATGTTGCTTGTTTTGGTCCATCAGCTAAAGCAGCTCGCATTGAAAGTGACAAAGAATGGGCTAAACAATTTATGGATGATTTTGACATTCCAACTGCTAAATGGAAATCATTTACTGATGTAAAACAAGCTACTGAATATGTTTATTCGTGAGTAAATAATATATAAGTACAATGTTTATAAATTATAATTATAATTTATAGTATATACAAATCATATATTATTAATATTTTTTTCATTTCACAATACTCATAAATTAATAGAATTTTTTGGTATTAATAATTTAATTTATTTTAATTTAATTTATATTAATAATTTACAGTGTTTATTTTATATCAAATATTCAACTAATATATCATTTGTAATTGTGTTAATACCAAATAAATTTATATAAAATTATTTTTTTACTTATATAAAATAAGAAATTATAATTTTATTTTATTTTTATAAAACTTTTGAGTAATGAAAAAAAATTCTTCTAATATGCTAGAAAGGATATTTTTATTAAACTGATCACTTTATAGAATATGTGATAAGTTCTGACTTAAAACCAAAATGATTTCGGTTTTTAAATATGTTTACTATATCTAGTAAGTTAGTTGACCTCTATATAGATTTTTTTTTTAAGAATTTATTAGGTAGAATAAATTGTAAATTATTGTAGATACTGGATGTATTATGAAACCACTGTTAAAACTATAATTTAACTAAAAGATTGCCTATATAAAGTTAAAAGTTAAATTAATCAATATATATTTTGTTTGGTTAATTTTAGTTTTTAAAGTAATATTATAGTTCAATTAAGGTTTCAAAGGCGATCTTATAAAATTTTTGGGTTCTGCAATAATTTTTCAACATGTATTAAATTTTTTTTTATATAATTAAACAAATTTAGTAGATATAAAAAAATTACAAAAATTCTAAATAATTTCTGTTCCAAGCCCGGGTTTAGTGACATATTAAAGATTTTTTCATTAGAAATTGATATTTTACTACCACTCTAATTAAAACTTCTTTTAGAAATTTTTGAACAATATTTTAAGTATAAAGTCGTATTGAAAATACTATGAAGTATTTTTAGGAGAAAGATTGAGATCCTTCTTCATTAAAATTATTCCTCAAAAAAATTCAGAAAAATAGTATTAATTGTTTTATTTTTTTAAAGAATAGAGATTTAAATTTAGCAACCCAACATATATCACATTAGTAGGAGAGGGTTAACCCCAAGTAGTTGGGAGTAAGGTGAGGAAAAAGAAGAGAAAAACCAAAGATTTTAAAAATTTTTTAGCAATTTTTCTTTTACTCTTAAAAAACATGCAACAAAGTTAAATAATGGTTTTTATGATATTAAAAGAGTATCTATCTTTCTATACGCTTTAAAAATATATATTAATATTAAAAGCTTAAAATTATTTTTATTAGTTTTACTATTGTCAGATTAAGTCTGATGTATTAATAATCTTTTGGAATATATTCTTTTTCAGTTTTATTAAAATTAATATATTGGAATTAATTTATTCTTAATTATTATTAGTTAGAACTATTGACTTCAGTTTTTATATGTTTATATTTATATTTATAGAGCTGATTTTCCTGCTTTAGTAGTAAAAGCTAGTGGACTTGCTGCTGGAAAAGGTGTTGTAGTTGCTTCAAACAAACAAGAAGCATGCTTAGCATTAGATGCAATTTTAACAGAAAATCGATTTGGTAAAGCTGGACAAACTGTTGTTGTTGAAGAATTATTAGTTGGAGAAGAAGTTTCAGTTAGTTCATAATAATTTATACATTTTAAGTATATTGTAACATTAACATAATATTAACATTTTAAACCTCAGTACTAATAAATTAATAAAATCTTAAATGTTATGTAGTTGCATTTTTTTACCAATGCAAGACTCCAAATAATTATAGTATAATTATTTTTGGTACATAATGATACAAATTGTATTTTTATTTAAAAACAATTGAAGTATTGATTATTTATAATTGTATTACTTGTAATTCTTAATTTTATTTGCAGGTTTTATGTTTTACTGATGGAACTAATATTAATGTTATGTTACCTAGTCAAGATTATAAAAGAGCATATAATCAAGATAAGGGGCCAAATACAGGAGGAATGGGTGCTTTTTGTCCTTGTTTTAATATGTCACAAGAAGAATTAAATGAAGCAAAGAATATTTTACAAAGAGCTGTTGATGGGCTTCAAAAACGTGGAATGCCCTTTGTTGGTTTGTTTAGATTTTTTGTTTTATATTCTAAAACTTAAATATAAATAATTCAAATGAAAGTATATTAACGAATAACTTAAAATATATCTATTAAACCACTCTTCAGGTGTATTATATGCTGGACTAATGGTAACTAATGATGGAATAAGAGTTTTAGAATTTAATTGTCGTTTTGGTGATCCCGAAACTCAAACAATTTTACCGTTATTAGAAACTGATCTTTATGAAATAATGAAAGTATGCATGGAACTATTATGATACTTAATGTTTTTAGACTTATATTTTAAAACTTATTAGTCTTGTGTTAATGGAACCTTGAATAAAGTAAAAGTAGAATGGAAATCTGATCAATTTTGTGTTGGTGTTATGATGGCTAGTAGAGGATATCCACTTACATCTAGCAAAGGAGATGTAATATCTGGTGAGTTATTCCACAAATGTTTAATTCCATACTTTAAAGTGTTCAATATTCTATTAATAATCAGTTATAATTGGAAATTTTTCAGGCCTATCATCAGTTACAAAAGGTATGGTTTTCCATAGTGGTACTAAGTTAAATAACTATGGTGAATTAGTGACAAATGGTGGGCGTGTCTTAATTGTTGTTACAATGGATCAAGAATTAGTTTTAGCAGCTGCTAGAGCTACAATGGCATGTGGACGAATAATGTTTAATGGTGCACACTTTAGAACTGATATTGCTCACAGGGGCATAGCTAGGTAGTAGAAATTTTCAACTTTATTAATTTTAATTTAAAAATAATTTTTTGCCTTATTTATAAATAGAGCAATATTAGCTAAAGGTGTTACAACTTATAAATCAAGTGGGGTTGATATAGAAGCTGGCAATGATTTAGTTCCAATATATAAAGATTTAGTATCTGTGACAAAACGTCAAGGAGTTTTAGGAGAATTAGGTTCATTTGGAGGAATGTTTGATCTTAAAGCTGCTGCATTCAGAGATCCAATTCTTGTCTCAAGCTCTGATGGAGTTGGCACTAAATTGAAAGTAATTAAAAAAAATTGTAATATGGCAAAGTAAACAACATCCTTTTTTATTTTATAATTTTTTCTTGTTTTATAACTTTAAAAAACATTAGTTATAATTTCAAAATACAAAAAAAAATAACTTTTTATAACAAATTAATATATTATTTTTCTAAAAAACTCATTTTGTATATAAATTGAGTATATATTTAGATGTATTTCAAAATTATAAAATATAAAAAAGTGAAAATTAACAAAGGAGATTGTTGACTATATTGTGCAACACCTAAATTGTTATAATAATAAGTTTTATATAAATTTTATAAATATTTTATAGATAGCATTAGTATGTAATAGTCACAAAGCTATAGGACAGGATCTTGTTGCTATGTGTGTCAATGATATAGTAGTTCATGGAGCTGAGCCTTTATTCTTTCTTGATTATTTTGCGACAGGACGTTTGGAAGGTGGAAATGTAATTGAAGTTATAAAAGGCATAGCAGATGGCTGTCGTCAAGCTGGATGTGCACTTATAGGTTTTTTTCTAGTACAAATTTTAGTTTTGATATTCATATTATTGATTTAAATGTATATTTTTTAATTATATCCAATGTAGGAGGAGAAACAGCTGAAATGCCGGGTATTTATCATACTAATGATTATGATGTTGCGGGATTTGCAGTAGGAGCTGTTGAAAGGGAAAAAATATTACCTAAAATCAATGATATTGTTTCTGGTGATATTGTTATTGGCTTAGAGTCTAGTGGTCCTCATGCAAATGGATTTAGCTTAATTCGTAAAATTATGGAAAGAGGTTGTCACAATTATTCTGACGAAGCACCTTTTAGCTTAGATAAAAAAACATTTGGTAAATTATTTCTACTAAAATTAAACTTTTTAAATATTTTTAATAAATGTATTTCTATTTTAATTTGTAGGAGAAGAATTCTTGACCCCTACAAATATATATGTTGAGCGAGTCTTACCAGCAATAAGAAATGATCACATTAAAGCTTTAGCACATATAACAGGCGGGGGTCTCTTAGAAAATATTCCACGCATCTTACCAGAAAATAAAAAAGTTGTTTTAGATGCTACCAAGTGGGAAATTAAGCCAGTATTTGGTTGGATAGCAGCAACAGGTAAAATTTATTTAGAATTAGTATAACTTGTAAATAAAATATTTTTATATTATATCCTTTTAAGGTAGTATCAATGAAATAGAAATGTTGCGTACAATGAATTGTGGTCTTGGTATGATCTTAATTGTGGCCAAAGAGTTTGTTGATGATGTGTTAGTACATACAAATGGTAAAATTGTTGGTGTAATTGAAGATAAAAGTAAAGGTACTAGTAAACAAATAATTTTTGTTAAAAATAAATTATTTTATAATATATGTAGTGAGTAAGACTTATTGATGAAATTTTAATAATTAAAAAAAATATACTCTATATATTTGTATTTATTTTCCCCGTAATGAACTTAAATTGATTGAAACTTAAGTTATATTAATATTTACTTAAATGTGTAATCTCTGAAAATATTTCTGGAATTTAAATTTAAAATTAATTTTCATTAATACTATAATTCCTCAATGTTAACTGACTATTTGAGAGTTTCAATAAATGGTTTTTGATATATAAAAGTCATTTTAGATTCGATGCGAAGCTGAGAAGGTATTGGTTTTACTATGATGTTTTTTTTTTTTTGTGTCTGTTACCACTTTTTCTCAGCTTTCACCAAACCGATTTCTTTCAATAATACGCCAAAAGATCACAAATTGTATCTAGTTGAGACATTACTCTCAAAAATTGAAAAAATTTCCCACGTTCCCCGTAAATGGGGAAACTTCCAAAAAAATTACAAATTTAAAAATCGCTTATTTTCGATATTTTTTTAATATTTTTTACTTAAAATTGCTATAACTTATTAAAAAATAATCAAATCAATATAATTTTTTTTATATAGATGCATGATATCGTTATCTTTCGTTTGGTATATTTTTTTTATAAATCTGACCCTTTACCTGTCCACAGTGGGAAATTTATAATATCAACTTTTTTACAAAAAATTAACTTTTTTAACTTGACTTTTGAAAGTCTGACACTATTATATGTATATCTTAAATTAAAGCTAATGTAATATACTTTATTATGGAAAAAAAAAAATTTTGGACTTTATTTTATCTTCACGGTGAAAATCGCTACCAAATGCTATTTTTGTGTGAAAATTCTCGATTTTGTATTTTACATTTTTAACTTTATTATGCTATAACTTTTTGAAAAATGTATGGATCACGACAATTTTTTTATGAGAAATAATATTTATATGCCTTTTTCATTCTATGTACTTTATCTTAATCAGAATATTAATAAGGAACTAGCAGATCATGTAGCTTTTGGAATAATCCGCCAATTTTTTAAAATTAAACACTATCTAAAGATTTGCATCAAAGCGTTTTTTTGATAGTGATTTTAATCACTGTCAGATGTCATTATACTTAATCCAACTATGCCACGTCACCACTGTGCCGTGACCCCCCTGTGCTGGGTTTTTTATTTTTAGGATACAATTGTTATTATTTTATTTAAAAAATTAGTAATTAATATTTTAATCAAAAATGTATATGGTTCAATAGATGACTGTCCTGTAGTAGTCACAAAATTTGCAAATGCTATGGAGCCAATTATGCGCCCACATATACAAACTTATGTAGCTTCAAGGATGCATCCAAAAATGAGGGTAGCTGTTCTTATATCAGGTAGTGGAACAAATTTACAGGTAAATCGTGCATTTGTTGTATGATAACTTTGAATATTATAATACATATTATTATTATGTAAATTTAGGCTTTGATTGATGCAACTACAGACGATCCTTCTATGATGTCAGAAGTAGTTTTGGTAATATCCAATAAACCTGATGTTGAAGGTTTAGAACGAGCTAAAAAAGCTGGAATTTTAGCTCTGGTAAAAAATATTATATTTAGTTATATTATATTGATCTCTTCATATGCAGTAGTATTTAAATGAATAGAAGTGTTAATTATCCTCCAAGGAGAAAACTTTTTCTGCATTTCTAAATATTATTAGCAATAAAATTTTAAAAGAAATTATTAAATGCTTTATTTTTCTTTACAAAAACTTGAAAATTTTTATCTAAAATCACAATCATTAAAATGTCAATACTTTAAAAAAGGGTTTATTATGTATAATATTATAAACATATTCATATTTTAAAATATAATACTTGTTTTTTGCTTTTAAATTTAGGAAATAAATCATACAAATTATAAAACTCGAGAAGAATTTGAAAGTGTAATGATGAAAGCTTTGGAACAAACACAAATAGATGTTGTTTGTTTAGCTGGTTTTATGCGAGTATTAACCAAACATTTTGTAAATAAATGGAGAGGACGATTACTCAATATACATCCATCTCTCTTACCATTATTTAAGGGACTTGATGCTCAAAAACAAGCACTTCAGTCAGGTGTTCGAGTTGCTGGTTGCACTGTTCACTTTGTTGAAGTAAATTAATTTTTCATATTAAATATAATTATTTGACTTCATTTAAAATTTTTTTTTTATTTTTGAGAATTTAAAAGTTTCTTTAATTTATATTGTAATAGAANTAAATCATACAAATTATAAAACTCGAGAAGAATTTGAAAGTGTAATGATGAAAGCTTTGGAACAAACACAAATAGATGTTGTTTGTTTAGCTGGTTTTATGCGAGTATTAACCAAACATTTTGTAAATAAATGGAGAGGACGATTACTCAATATACATCCATCTCTCTTACCATTATTTAAGGGACTTGATGCTCAAAAACAAGCACTTCAGTCAGGTGTTCGAGTTGCTGGTTGCACTGTTCACTTTGTTGAAGTAAATTAATTTTTCATATTAAATATAATTATTTGACTTCATTTAAAATTTTTTTTTATTTTTGAGAATTTAAAAGTTTCTTTAATTTATATTGTAATAGAATATTAACTTCTGCGCGTAGAATCATACTGTAGTAATTAAAAATGTTTATTTAACAATAAAGAAATGTTACATGAATCCATATGATTTAAAATTAAAATTATTAAATTAGTAACCTGATTTTATTTCTAATTCTCCCATGGTCTCTTACTACATTCAATATAAATAAAAAAGAATTTTAATTAGAAAAATAAATCTAAATACTAAATGTTCTCTGTAATTTTAATTTTTTATTAAATTAACTGTTTTATTTTAAACTATAGGAAGAAATAGATGCAGGTGCTATAATTGTACAAGAAGCAGTAACTATCAGCATAGATGAAACTGTTGAAAGTCTCATTGAAAAAATTAAATCAGTTGAACATATTGCTTATCCAAAAGCTTTAAAGTTATTTGCAACAAATCAAGTATATTTAGATAAAGATATTGGTAAAACTAAATGGCTGACTAATTCAAGTGATGTTTACAGAAATATTGTTTAAAGTTAAAGTTAATTAATTGAATCTCGAACAATTTATTATTGATTATTGTGAAATGATTATAAAACATTATTTTACCACTAAGGTTACTCATTTAGTCTTCCATCTTTTTTATTGTTAGTATAAAGTATTCATTATTTTTACCATGTAAAAATATTACATTTTTTATTAATCTTTATTTTTATTTTTTATTTTGTTATTTTTATTTATATATTTCAGATGTAGTTATGATTGAAATTTGTTATTTTGTTGAAATTTAAATAATTATAACACTTTGATCATTAGTGGTTATTTAATCTAAATTCATCTATTTATCTTTGTATCATTAGGATTATCTACAAATATTCGTTTTATATTTATATGTTGATTATAAATAAATATTTATATCCTAAATTAAAATATGTAATAAAATTATAATATATATGTAATTTCTTATGACCATATTGTAGAAACTACACTAGTGACATATTTTATTAAAATTAGTTTATGATTGTTAGAAATTAACTAAATTTTTTCTTTGACATATTTTATTGGGTAAACCAGAACTTTTAATTTTATTCTCTTGAAAATCATCAGTAAGATTTATTTTATGGGTTATTATAAATGTTTTTGATTATTTAAAATAAATAAAATTTTAGTATCCAAGTTGTTTTAGATAGACATTAAAAAAATTTACTAAGATTTAATATGGTCTGTCTTATTAAATAAAATTAAAATTCCATCACTAATTTAATATACTAATTTAAATTCTCAATTTTTGAACATTTTAAGTTAGTACTTAATTCCCAAATCTTAACTCAGAAAAAATTAGGTAAGGGATTTTAAGTATGCTTAAAAATGTTATTTTGAAATGGAATTCAATTTTAACTCCATTTATTTCCGCGATATTTCTGGTAGGTTCGAATTGTAATGAGGTAAGAGAGGTAAAGTACCCCTTTATAACAAGTGTTTATTATATTCAGAATTTTTTTTCTGTAAAATTATTTGCTGACTTATTTTTGGATTCATCAAAAATATGTAATGAGTAATAAGTCAGCAAAAAACATAATTAATGTACATAATCTTTCTTTATTAAGAAAATTTAAAGCGTCGGACTAGTAAACGTAATTGACTACGTTGAGGCTGGAACAGATTGATTGTTTTATACTTCATTTTTATATTTCTCAAAAATGAACAAAAATTGTATAAAAAATTGAGCTTCATATTATAATTTATGCAAGTTTATTAAAAGGGTCACACTGTTTAAGAGAACACGTGCTAGTTGCATTCTAAACCCTACTAAACAGCTGTTTTATTTCAATGGTGTACAGAATTAAAGAGCTATGCATTCCATGTTAGTTAATAGTCATGCCTTTTGAATTATTTACAAATTTCATCATTTGTGGGTTAGGTTGCACCTTGCTTGATAACTAGCGCTACCACCCTACTTATAGTTTTGTTAGTGAGTCTATGGTTGGTTTTATTCAACAGGATGAAGAGCGGAACTCGGCAGCGCTTAGCACATCGATTCATTTTCATTCGTGTCGCTGGAATCTTGTGACGTTGGTGTTCTGCGGTTTGTCGTTATATTCATAACTTCTTCGGTCAGTGATCTAATCGATTCTCTTCTCCGCCCTCTTGACTGTCTGACGTCGTTTGCCGCAACAGCAACTTAAACAGTACGACACAAAAGGCTTCCAGACACCTCCGCATTTTAATATCAGTATTCTTCTGTAAAATATTTTATATTCTTATGAGTATATTTTAAAAATAAATTTGTCTTAATTATATTAAAACCATTTACTTATTTATAAAATTGGAAAACTATCCACGCCTACGTTAAAAGGGTTACAACATAAAACAATATCATCTTAAAGACTACTCTGATATAATAAGGTAATTATAATGTATTTTATGATTCAAAAAATGAATAGAGGTAAGTCCTATCTCAAATTAAACAAAATTACAATTTAATTATTGCTAATTAAAAATTGTTTGCAAGATTCAACATAAATCTACTTTTTTAAGTAGAGTTGTGTATAATACCACAGTATTCATTTGATGCAATATAAATAATTATTTGGTAATATCTAAGTAATTTTTGCAGTAAAAGAATATCAATTGTGCTGTAAACTTTTTATAATACAGTAATTAATACTTATTCATTAAAAATGTGTCTAAGAAAAAAATTCAGACTATGTGATGATCTAAATACAGGATAATTCTTTTAACAATGAAAAATTAAAGATTAATTTTTTAACAAGTTTTCTTATTAAATATGTCAAGTTTAATTTCAATTATTTGTTCTATAATAAACTTAACTTTTAGACCAATTTTTTTTGCCATTGTGCAAAAAGAGACCCGGTGATAATTTTATTTATTTTTGAATTTTTGTAATTATAGTTTAAGTTCGAAAAAATATTAGATATACATTTTTTATTTCTATTTGACTTAATTATTAAGCATTACATAATTATATATATATATATACATATTTTTATTTAATTATTAAACTGTTTGAAATATTTAAAAAATATAAATTACATTTTTTTCACAATAATAACAATTTAGGCTTTTAATAATTGTGTCATTCCAGTGGATTGACAATTTAAATTTTTTGTTCTAAGATTATAGTAGTGTTTGTATTTCAATAGTTATTAGTTTTATTTATATTTTTGTTTACTCTATTTAAATAATAATAAAAATAGGATCAATAATTTTCTAAAATATTTCTAAGAACTATGTTTTAACAACTTAAAATGACAAATTAAAAAATATAATATAATAGAAATACTTCTAAAAAAATTTTTTGGTAAAACAGATTTTACTTTAAGAGTAATTAGATTTTTTTAATATAACAAGTTAGAGAAATTCTGTCAAATGAATATTAATTTTCAATTATAAAATTTATACTAGAAAAATAATCTTAACAACTTTGTGGTAATATTGGTAAGTATTAAACTTAGGTGTTGAGTGAAAAATCATTGAAGAAAACAAATCACACTTTTATTCTCCTTAAAAAATATTTATATTTTTATATGAAATATTTTATTATAAGGAGGCTAAGCTCTCCACTCTCACCTGTGATATTAATCCAAAATGTTGATTATAAAATTGAGCATTAGGACTAATTATAATAATGAGTCTATAATTATATATGTTTAAAAGTATTAGTCAATTTCTTGAAGGTAACATAATAATTTTATGATTTATAGAGAAATATATATCTCATTATATATACTATTATATATTATTAAGTATACTAATTATACTCGAATAACCAAAATAGTGCAGTAGTCAATAACCTCAAAATATGTTTAGTAGCCGAGTTGAGTATTATTTGATTATTTTTTTAATTGATGTTTAATAAAATTTTATTACTCACTTTTTTGTCTTTTATTTGATAAATATATTTAATTATAATTTTAAATAATGATGATTTCAATTTAAGAAATGGATTTATTAATTTAATTAATTCTATTTTTTTCAAGAAAAAGATCTGGTTGTGAGGTTAGGATTTATAGACTTCTCTTTACCAGTGTTGTTTTTTTTTCAAATCCATAGGATATATGCTTTCTTAGAGATTTTGAAACCTTACATCGAAGATATTAATGAGTTTTCATTCAGTTTCTATAATGTGTGTATAATATAAGGCATTGACAAAAAATATATACATATTATATGTACAAAATAGATAGAGTTTTAATTTAAAGTTAAACGAAGGCTTAAAAACATACGTGTATTTAGTATTTTTACTGGGTATACATTAATTTAAAAAATTCAAAATAGACATACGCCCTCTACACGCTTTTACTACTCGAAACACCGTTGCACTACAATACAATAGATTAATTGTGTAGTAAAAAGAGTGTAACGTTGTTTTTAAGCATAATATTTGACTTAAGATTTTGCATATCAAATTTTATTATTTTATTTTATATGGTAATTAATTGTTTTTAAGTTAATTCGTCGTTTTAAGTACTCTTTTAAGTATTACAAAAAAAAATTTATTTTCCATTGTTTCAAAAGAGAAACGGGTCAAGGAAAAAACCACCAATTTTTTACTTTTAAGTTTAGTTGAAGTTAACTAATAGACGACAAAACATATATTGACTAATTACGGCGTAATTATTTATGTTTACTCTAGACATCTTTGTGTAGAATTATATTTAGCGTCTTATTTATGGATAGGTACAAGAAGTATACCAATAAGTACGTAAAATATTGTATTATTATTGTCGGCTAATTGTTTTGTTGATTTAATAAATAAAAATAACAATTTGAAATGACGGTTATACAAAAATTTCTTTTTTGGCGATCATAAATTTTGAAAAGGTTTTTATACATATTTTATTTATATATTGAGCGTGTTCATATCATTGGCTAATTAATAGGTTTTTTTTAAATTAATTGGCAAACAATTTTTAAATTTAAACTTTGATACAAACTCTCAAGTTTTAAAGTAAAAACTGAATGAAGTAATTGATGAATTTTTAAATATTAAAATTGTTGAGTCTTAAACTTCTGATATAGTGTGCCTTACCTTATTTTTATCTATTCATTATAAACGACATTATTTTTTTCATTATAGCTGTAATATTTTAACTACAATAGTTTAAACCCAAAAACGTCATTACGTTTAAAGTAAAATACACATTGTTTACTGACGATTATTTTCACAATCAAATCAAATAAGACTAGACATCATAAAAGTAAATAGTGAAATGCTAAGAAATAAATAGTCGTATATATATAAAAGAAATAGCTCAATTTTTCCTTACAAGATTTAAAAAAAAATGGTGAAATCTTGAGTGTGGACAAGTAACCATAGCACTTTCCTATCTGCGCCTATAAAAACCATATGTTAAAAAATAATAGTAAAAAAATGAAAAAAAAGGTTTTATTTTAATTTATGTTTATAGTATGAAACGTATAGTTAAATTAGTGTATCTGCTATTTGTTTATTTATTATATTTTCTTGTTGATTATTTTTATACAAATTTTTATCAGTTACATATTATTTTATTAGTTTAATAAGTAATTAATTCCCTATTCATAGATACGTAAATAAATATGTTTCTATTACATATTAGGTACTTTGTGACCAAATATGTCTGTTCAAATTTCAACGTATTAATAGTTATTATAATAAACATACTCATTGGTTGTGCAATCAAAATACTTCTAAGGTTTTATGTATAAAAATACAGCTAGATTTATACAAATAGTTTAATTTGTTTATTCAAGTCACAAATGACACATTTCTGGAGATAAAACTTGTCTTATGGTCAGATCAAACTACGCAGTTTCTCTTTAAATGAAGTCGTTGGAAAATAGGCACTCGTTTTTAATTATTTAAATACACAATTTTTTTATATTGACCCAACCAGTTTTTAGCATAATTTAGATAACGATTGTTTATCGTATAGAGTATTGAATTCGTTACAGGAATTTCTTAAGCTTAATCGATAGAATTATTATGTTTACAAAAGAATCATATTACTTTTTGTGTAATATTCTCTTACTAATTACTGCCGTTTGTCTAATCGGTGAAGTTGTGTTGGCGATAGTTAAACCCATACATATAATAATTATTATACTTTACTAACTGTAGTTTATCGAACCTCTCTATCCGTGTCCTGATCGCCCGCCACCATATCGTGCCAATTCGCTATTGAACTATACCACGACCACATCATATTTTTAGCTCAGTCAGCAATCAGACGCCATCGGCTTAAATCGTAAAACTTTGACTCGTTAATTACTTTCTGTTGTTTATTAATTTTTAATAAAGTCTTTAAAGATTTAAATTGCATTCAGTTTAAATTTATTTATTTTTGTTAAGAGGTATAATTTCTATTTTCTCTTGTTTATGAATTTTGATTTTGTAATAATTTAACTTCTTGTCTTAAATTATTCGTGCTTTAAATATAAGTGTTATTTTAAAAACTTTCTTAGTTTTCATCGTGAAACAAAGTTAAGTCTAATTTTTTTTTTTTTTGCAGATAAATACCATGGAAAACGTTGATAACGAAATCATGCAACCCGGTCTTCATCGTTTATGGGCTAAGCGTCAAGGAAGTATTTTGGGACCTTTGCAAGATATCCGAGATGAGCTTTTGGATGAGAATCATTTCGGTTATGATAGTCGGGTAAGAATTAAAATTATAATAATTTTAATTAAAGAATATTTCATTAGTTCTATGACTTATCTAACTAATAATAATTAATTAGATCAGATTTAGATAAATTATTATTTTATAACTAAAAAAATACTAATGAGAAAAACAATTGAATTTATTTAGTGATATCTGTGTGTTTTAATGTATATCGTTTCTCAATAATACCAAGAATTGTAAATTAAAAAGAAAGTAAAACAAAAAACCTTTAAAAACTAGACATTTAATAAAAATAAATTGTCGGTTACTTTTATATATGTAGCCACTGTTAAAAATTTAAAGAGAAACAGTTCAATGAATCGATAAGTTACATGATTAAGAATACATGTGAATCATATTTAGAACTACGTATATATCTCGTCGTATCCAAGTGAAAATAGATGCAAATTAATAATATGATGATATATATTTTTTCGTCGCTTTAAAGTGTTATTCTTAATAAATTGTAATTTCTTGAACAAGTTATGATAATGGTTAAGTATTTTTTATAATGTTTAACGGAAAAGATATATTCGTAATATTTGTGCGGTGTTGTTTGCTATTAGAAGTCTTTTGGAGGTTCTTTGACTATATTTGAAAATTTCATAGCCTTGAGTTTAATTTCAATATAAAGTTATCAATTATTTTCTTTTTAGATATTGAGGTTTCCTATTAAATTGCTTCAAAAAATTAAGTGCCTTATCGGTGTAGTGTTTTCTGAACTTCTTGTTTAAACTACGTAGATAATTTTTTAATATTTATATTTATGTCCAATATAACTCTAAAGCCGGAATAGAATATTTTATTTGACCTTAAATGTTGAATTTTAATTTTTTCCGTTTCAATTCTTCTTTATAACTGTCGTATCCAAAATAGATTATAATAAGAATTTTAACATTACTGTAATTTTTATATAAAAAATGGTTACAACTATAATTAAACATTTTTTTTAAATAAAAATATTTGTCTATTAATAATTGGTTATTTATTTGTTTTCATAATTTTTGATGAAACTGGTTAAGAAAATGTATGCTAATTTTCATTTAATATTCATTAGTGATAATTTATTTCTCGTGTTTCGCTAAATTAAAGTAAGATTACTTAGTATAATATTTATATGAAACAGTATTCTCGTAAGATATATTTATTAAGATCATAGTATAATTTTAAAAATTAATTTACTTAATATTAAGTACAATATTTATGTGTTCAAAGTAATTATTTATTATAAAATTATTAAATTACCTTACACACCATATGCCAGTACAATTTTTCATTATTTGTCTTGAAAACTTAGTTATGTGTTTTTATCGAGATTATAGTTTTGAAAGTAATTAGGGGGGTTTATCCTCATAGAACAAAAAATATTTCTATGCTAATAATGTAATCCTACCATAAAGTTGCACAAACTTGGAGCACTTAAAAGTGGCTCAAACAAAATGTATAAATGTATATCGGGTCATTACTTATGAATAATAATAAATACAAAATGATTTCGTATTTATATAAGTTATGTATTATGTGTTTTTTAAAATTGATACTTTTTAACTCGTAAGAAATTATTATAGGCTAAAATAATTTATACGCGATCAATACAGAAATATACAGAGTACACCCAAAGAAAAACCTCAATCAATTTTGATAGATAAATTTTATCAAGGGTTTATGATAATGTTTTATTAATACGAACAAAATAATTATTCTTATAAATAATTATTGTTCAAGACAAGAAAAATAATTATCATATTGATAAATATATCATAGATTCAATAGTAATGATATATTTATCAAATTGAACGATGAATTTATTATATAGATCGAGGTTTTTCTCTGGGTGTAGTCCACCATATTTTAAATTTCTTTATTTTTTAAAATAAATTTTAGATTTTTGTATTGTGTTAAAAGAATTTTTATTATTTGTCTCAAAAAATTAAAATAATTTAATTTTTTCAAAATTTCAAAACAGACATTTTAAATTTTTCTTACAAAAAATGTTGATAGGTTAATAATAATTTTAGTTCAAGTTCTCGTTGAGTTTTTAGTGTATAGAGTGAGTATGAAACACGATCAGAGCATACATACACCAGTTTAATCAAACTAAGCCTTTAATATTTGATTGAAAAGTTAAAACATCAGAATTATAAAATTATAAAAATATAAACTACTGTAAAATTTAACAGATTCGCATTGTAACGTTTTTAATGATTGTGACTAGTGAATCACCGTCAAATATCATCTATACTTGTCTCAATTATACTGCGTCTCCACATTATGTGTCCCGTGAAGATTGTTTTCTATGATTTTTTTTTTCTAAATTATATATTTTTGTAAACTTATATCAGTAAGTGAATAGACTGATTAACTTTTTAAAAACGTCATACCTGCTGTATTTTTCACTTTTTTATTCTTCAAAATTATAAATACGTAAGTTGACGAAAAGTGTTTTTTCTTAAAGGTTATTTGTATTTGTACACATTTAATGTTTAAGAAACAAAATGTTGGCTGTGACACTTCAAAGATTGGCTGAAAGCCACATTAAACATTATTAGTATAAAGATGACTTAAATTACATAAAGTTTACTACGTAACATGTTTTTAACTGTAACGAGTCAATGCGTCATTAGTTTTCCAAGTTACAAAAATTTCAAATATCTATGTTTTACATAACTTTAATTGTTATTTATTGTGACAGTATGGATAAGAATCAATGTAACCTTTAAACTTCTTTGTAATGTACAATTATTGTATCCACGAAATTTGTATAGTATAAGATTACATAAAAGAAATTGTCGCTTAGTGTTAAGAACAGATAGTAAGATACATCTCTGCATAATAATAAAGTTATTTTTTTTTAAGTGTTACACCTATAAGGTACGAATATATGTAAAACTTCCTAGATCTGTTAATTAAATTAATTTCATTATGAATAGTAAATGCGTTCATTAAACAAAATGTTCGCTATTGAATTCTTAATGCAATTGTTTTTTTATATTTTGTTTTTACAATGTGATATTAATTATATGCCTCGTAGATATGATCATCAGAATTTTAACATAGTATAATTAAAATTGCATAAAAAAATAAAAAATTATGGCTAGTAAGTTGCTATTAATAATCACAAAAAAAAAATATATTGAGAAATGCCATTTAAAAAAATAATTATTTATAGTATATTGATAATTCTACAGAAACAATTTATATGCGAATAACATAACTTTAGTCATAATATATAGGACAATGTAGGGTAAAACGAGGACATTAACGTTTGAAGATCCTTAATTCTCTTAAAATATTTTTTTTTCAGATTAAAATTTTTAGGGCATTCTTATAATAAAACTTATTTTAATGAATTATTAGTTAGATACAATAACTGTCATATTCTTAGAAAATTAGTTTAATAATAAATAATAAATAATTTTAATATATATTAGCATCAGTAGTGACTTATACTTGAAATTAGAAAAATTTTTAGATATACTTAACTTATTTTATTAGTAATAATATTAATAAAACACTTTTTGAGGATGATAAATAGAATTTTTAATACGTTTAAACTCCAAACTATTTTTTTGTATTTAAACAATAATTATGAAAAGGCAATACATCTAAAATTAATAGTTTACTTATGGTTAAAGTATAATTAAATAAAATATCCCGTCACTATTGCGTTCCTAATTTAAGTACCACACATAGTTCCAATTAATATACTCATTTAATATTGTATATTTATCAATTTGTCATAAAACTTTTTTTTTTATTAAAGTTATTATTAAATAAATTCTTTAATTTTCTCCAATAACAAAAAAAAGTTAAATATTGGTTGAATATATTTTAATAGAGAAAATCAAAATAATTTAACAATAGACTAATTAAACGTATTTCAAGTATTAGACATAAAATAATTGATATTTGAGTTCAAAATATTAATCATGTATTGTCATATAACAAGAATACTTAAGATCTCACTTTTGAAACAATAAAACCGAAAAATCAGAGTTATTGAGATGTCTCCGTTTTGACCCACTATTCTTATTTATAAGTTTCCTTATCTTTCATAATTTTTCTGATCTAGTTATTTGAAAAATGAAAATATATGCATTTTGGGATTGAACTTATTGGTTGTTTTTTGAATTAGATAACTTCAAATCTTTTTATTAAGTAAGGAATAATAAAAAACAACACTATAGATATTACATTGTGACATGCAATAAATTTATAAACCATTACATTTATTAGTGCTATACTAATTAGTTTTATGTTTCAATAATTTTGAACTACGTTCATGGAGTTTTTACTAGATAACATACAAAATATTTGTATTAGTTAATGTTAAATATCCCCATATTAGCAGGGACCCGAATTGAATTGTAAGGTTGAGGAACTCGTCACTACCTATCGAAACAAATGAAGACTTCATTATCCAGATTATTAATTCTATAGATTAAAATATATTTGTAGTTTCGCTTATTTGCTCCAAAAGTTGATAAAAAGTTTATTTATTAATAATAATTTGAATTATAATACCAAAACATTATATTAAATTATTTATTATCTATAAAATTATAGATTTTCTTATGTCGAATTTTTTAATATTTCAAACTACATTGAAGTCCTCTAGAATTTATATTTTATAAACTTTTATTTTAAAAATCTCAATAACTTGAAATTTTTGATACTTATATCTTTTTTTGAGATTTAACGTATCGTGTCTCGTGTATTAATAATAATGAATAAATAAGTTCAAAAATTAAAAACCCAGCACAGGGGGGTCGCGGCACAGTGGTGACGTGGCATAGTTGGATCAAGTATAATGATATCTGACAGTGATTAAAATCACTATAAAAAAAAAACGCTTCGATGCAAATCTTTAGATAGTGTTTAATTTAAAAAAATTGGTGGATTATTCCAAAAGCTTCATAAACTGCTAGTTCCTTATTAATATCCTGATTAAGACAAAGTATGTCGAATAAAAAAGAGATTATTAGAAAATAGTATTTCCCATAAAAAAATTATATTGATCAATACACTTTTCAATAAGTTATAGCATTATAATGTTAAAAATGTAAAAAATAAAATTGAGAATTTTCACACAATAATAGCATTTGGTAGCCATTTTCACCTTGAAGATAAAATAAAGTCCGAAATTTTTTTTTTCCATGATAAAGTATATTACATTAGCTTTAATTTAAGATATATATAAAAGTGTCAGACTTTCCGGAACACTTTCAAAATTTAAGTTGAAAAAGTCAATTTTTTGTGAAAAAGTTGTCATTTTGAATCCCCCCCTGTAGGCAGGTAAAAAGTCAGATTTATAAAAAAAATATACCAAATGATAGGTAAAGACATCATGCATCTACAAAAAAAAGAATTATATTGATCCATACATCTTTCGAGAAGTTATAGCATTATAAAGTTAAAAATATAAAAAAGAATTTTTTTACAAAAATCGTATTTTTTTTATTAAGTTTAATGTCTGTTTTCACCATGAAGATAAAATAAAGTCCGAAATTTTTTTTTACCATTATAAAGTATATTACATTAGCTTTAATTTAAGATATATATAAAAGTGTCAGACCTTCCGGAACACTTTCAAAAGTTACGTTGAAAAAGTTCTACTTTCTATATGCATTTTTATGTTTTGAATCCCCCCTGTATTTAGGGAAATGGTCCGATTTAAAAAAACAGTATGTCGAATGAAAGATCTATATAAATACTACTTCTCATAAAAAAATTGTAATGATTCATACATTTTTCAAAAAGTTATAGCATAATAAAGTTAAAAATGGAAAATACAAAATCGAAAATTTTCACACAAAAATAGCATTCGGTAGCCATTTTCACCATGAAGATAAGATAAAGTCCGAAATTTTTTTTTTTCATGATAAAGCATATTACATTAGCTTTAATTTAAGATATATATAAAAGTGTCAGACCTTCCGGAACATTTTCAAAATTTAAGTTAAAAAAATTAATTTTTTGTGAAAAAGTTGTCATTTTAAATCCCCCCTTGTGGGCAGGTTAAGGGTTAAATTTATGAAAAAAATATACCAAATGAAAGGTAATGATATTATGCATCTATATAAAAAAGAATTATATTGATATGTTTATTTTTGAAAAAGTTATGGCACTTTTAAGTAAAAAAAATTGAAAAAATTTCGAAAATTAGCGATTTTTAAATTTGTAATTTTTTTGGAGGTTTCCCCCTTTTACGGGGAACGAGGGAATTTTTTTCAATTTTTAAGGGTAATGTCTTCGACTAGATACGATTTGTGATCTTTTGACGTATCATTGAAAGAAATCGGTTCGGTGAGAGCTGAGAAAAAGTGGTAACAGACACAAAAAAAAAAACATCTTAGTAAAACCAATACCTTCTCAGCTTCGCATCGAAGCTAAAATAAAATTTGATTATATTTTTATAAGCAAAATGTGAATTCTAAGTGTTGATTATTTTAAAATAATTAATTTTTTTAATAGTCTCCATTAAAAATAATTTAACTAAAAAATATATTCAATTAAACTAGTCTAATATTTTTTTATTTTGTAGACAACTGATGAAGAAATTGGGGACAATGCGAAATCTAAAGAAGAAGCTTGTTGTTTAGATAAAGTTAGTATTCTTTATTTTTATAATTTTATTATTTCAATGGTAGGTATTTATAAAAACGTGAATTTACTATATAATTTTTAAGAGATAAAAACTTTGCCGGCCTTAAATATAGTACTTTTAACAAATTTTAATATCGTCTAAAATTGTTGAGTTTAATATATGTTTTTAATTTGGATTTTATCAACATGTGATAAATAGTTTTCCTTTTTTTTTTAAGATATCTATAGAAGACTGCAAAATGCTAATGACCAATAAAATGCCAATTTATCAGTTATTGCATTTCAATGTTTTCTGATCACTTTTTGTAATTATTTACAACATATATCTTATCGACCTTGTAAGGCTTTAGGGTCCATATATTGTATTCATTAGAATTCAGATTCCTTAGATGTATTAAAACCATCATCGTTTAGTATTCTCGGAAACTCGATGTTTAATATTTTATAAAATATCATTTAGGTTTCAATTGTACAAAACCGGTATTACGTGTCAATTTTGGTTTTATGTTAATAATATATTAGTAAATCATGAAGTTCACAAGTACGTTTTACCAGAGCCCTGTTCTTGTGAGTTCAGGGTCGGTAAGTTTTTATCTCTTGGTAAGTTATTTTAACCATATGCGTGAATAGATACACACCCATACACACATTTGAAGTAAAATAACATTGTCTATTTTACTGTAAGTAATCAAAGACAATTTGATGAACTTATTTAACCACCCCTATGTTTGTATGCACAATTTTGAATTGCCTATTTCGACTTCATAGAAAGATTTTTTTTAATATTTAATGTATTATGTGTTAAAAAATATACTTTTAAAACGTTTTTTAATTGACAAGAAATATATTTAAAAAAAATTTAATTGGAATTATAAATTTTGAACATTTTAATTTTTGTGAAGTTGAAATTGCAATTTCAAAATGTGTATTTTATAATTACTGTGTGTACTATGTACATTGGTTTATTATATGAATTTACATTCAACTGTCATCGATATGGTGCCTGTTAAAAAAAAAAAACATGTTCGCCAATGTAAATTCTGTTTACAGGACTCATCAGTTACATACATGGTTATTATATCCATGACGGACTCCATATTAGCAGAACAAAATTGCTTGTGAGTTATTGTTGCGACTAAAAAAAACAAATGATGTAATACCATGAAAAAAATGACGTATAATAACCTAATTAAAACTAAATAATATATATTTTACTAAAATTGTGTAGGTATCGATCACTATCTAATCGTTAGACATTTACCAGTGCCAGTATGTTTATTGGATACTTATTGATTTTACTTCTTGTCTGATTTCTGAAGAGTTTTGAATTTCATGCAAATGAAAGTAAATAATAGTGGGAACTTAATTATAACATAATTCAATACTCGCCGCTGTCTATTTAAAAAATAATTAAACTTTGATTGTATCTTAATAATTTTTCTCGGAAATATTATTTTTATTATTATATATAAATTTTTTTGGAGAAATAATTTCTTTGTAAATAAATTTAAACTGCTAAATTTTATAGTGGAGGACTTTTAAAAAAATTAAATATTTGAATCAACGAAAATTATAAGCATATTCCTGTAGAAAAATTTATATTTTTTTATTTAAATGAATAATTTAAATAATATTCAGTTGGTTTACATATTTTTAGACAAGCAGTTTTTTTTATAATACAGTAATTAAAAACATCACTGTCCTTTGCACAACTGTTTAAATATTTGATTTCATACACTAGTGATATAATATTATTTGGTGGTATACTTTATAGTTGAAACTACTTCAACGAATGAAATCTATTAAATTGTTTAAGTTAAATTTTAAATCATTGGCGTTTTTAGAAATAGTAAATTATTTCACTCACTAAAAACTTTTTAAAATTATTCTCTTTAGATTTTCATTTTCGTCGAATATTCTGTTCTTAACTTCTAACATGATTTAAAAATTCGATTTTTACATATTTGCAGAGGCGCAACTAAGGGGATTAGAGAAGCTGTGCTTTTCTAATATGTGATAGTCTTTCTCAAAATTATATATATTTTTCATAAAAATATCTTTAGACGAGGGAGTAAATTAAATTTAAATGTACGAATTTTCGTCATGTAATTTTATCTAAAGTCGTTATTATTTCATTTATCTCTTTTCTTCAATAATAATACGTTTTATTGTATTTAATTTTTACTTATTGTGTTTGTCCATTGTAAACTACAAGAAAAGCGAGTATTCATATAATTTTAAGTTAAAATTATTAGGTATTTATACATTGTTATTAAACAAATGTTTGGAAGGGAGTGGTATTTCTATTTGATCTATTTAGGATTATAATTTTATTTATTATAATATGAGCAATAAATGATAAAAATCACAAATTAAAATTTAAGTACATTTTTTTTTTGGAAACTAATGATCAATTATATTTATTAATTTGAAATAATTATATAATAAATTTGTAAGTAGCAGGGGTTTATCCTCTAGGATTATTGTTATGTTTAGGGATTATAATATCACTCTATCAATGTACAGTCATGAAATAGACTCAATATAGTAAAATAAGATTTTTATTAGATAAAGAAATTTATAGTGTAATTAAAAATTTTAATTATTTACAAAAATATAATATTACATATATTTAAAGTGAATATTTAGTAGCCTAATTACGCCAATGATTAATTTTCTTAGGCTACAATAAGAAATTTAAACACTTCATAAATTAAGTTATTATTTTAGAAATTATTTGAGTTTAGTATTCAATGAAAAAAATCCTTTATTTACCCATAATATCGTTATTATATTTTTATCAATCATTATTGTTTTTAATCTTTAATTTTATGTGCTGAGCATGTATAAATACATTTCTGTTTTAATTCAAGTAATTAATATAGTCCATTAAATAATGGACTATGAAAACTGATTAATTAATTTTTTTTTTTGTTTTAATTAGAGAGCTTGAAAAATAAAAGATAATTATTGATTTTTTTTAAATACACGAATCAATTATTGGTGAAAAGACATGTGTGCTTGATATATTTAAGTAGAAAAATATCTGGAGGATGATTCGATGGTTCCTGTGGAGTTGTGCTGCTGACAACAGCATTGTAGATGAAGATATGGGATTGAATTCACTGCTGCTGATACTGCTGCTTCTACATTTTTTACTTTGATGTATCATGAACTCAAGTCTTTCAACAATAAGTGATATCGTGCTTTTAACAGTCCAATAATTTTTGATGAATACTAAAAAACAATAGTTATTTATTACAATAATAATTCAATACACCCATTTCATATTATAATATATTTTTATGAAGTTCAAGTTTACTAACTAGTTACTACATAATTCTTTATAATGCTAATTTTTTATCCCTTTGACGTCAACTTTAACATTTTTTCCGTAGTAATTTTTTATTTTCTATAAAATATTTAAGTAGCTAATCATTATTAATTTATAGTGATCCCTTAATAATTCTATTTTGTTGTACAATATGTTTTTTAGGAGCTGACTGATAATAATGATTCGGAAAAATCTGTATCCATTCATAATAATTTGAAATATTGTACAAGTAGTTATTCAGATTCTACTGAAATTAAAGAAGTTTCTTTAATCACTCTTGATGGAGCTGAACTTAATGACTTTCCTGCTAAATATTCTGTTCCATTACTTAAATCTTATGAGTTAGCTGCTGTTGGTGTTTGGATACATCCCAATATTGTTCCAGGTTTCAAATATAAAGTACGACCTATTGATAATGATAAAGAGGTAATTTCAACATTTAACAATTATAGTTTTTTAATTTATTGATTTTAATTATATTCATATCTATTAAACAATTTGTAATATTTATTTCTTTATCAAGCGTACGAGATTTTTATTTGATAATCGAGCATTAGAATTATTAAGCATTGGACGAGGTTATTCCAGACGTTTAACATTTGAAGCGAGTCCAGGTCTTTTGAATGAAAATGATAACTATTTTTGGACAGATTCAATGCCTTCAGGCTATGCATTTCAAGTTTATGTAGTATCAGTTGGAGATAATTTTACAGTTTATGATGCAAATAATGTTGCTGTAGCTACACTTGAAGTGACTAAAGTTCAAGTAAGATTAATTATTTTATGTATTTTAATGTTTTGAATAAAAGTTTGAAATTTATTCAATAAATTTGAAGTTTTTCATAAAATTTTTAAAATAATATTTTGTTTAATTAAATTTTATATAAAATGTATAGAAGTAAAAGCCAAGTGGAAAATCATTGTACTTACCAATTCCCTAGTTTAATAACATATTAAATTTAAGAAAATTACAACTATGAAAAAAAAAGTAAAAATTCTTTCTGGTAACTTTTATTGTAACTTGATGTAATACTTTTAAAATCAACTTAGTTTTAACAAGTTTAAAAAAATGTTTTAACTTAGCCAATCTTAATAAAGCCTAATATAAAAATTATTTATTTAATTTTTTTTAGGGTGCCCAAAAAGAAATAACTCATGAAATATCTGAAAAAGGAGAAGTCATTAAACAGGTTGAAGTAAATATGTTGTGTAAAGTAGAATGGTTTTACAAGGAAGAATCTTTTGTAACAACACCTGTAAGTTAAAACATTTATACAATTTTTTAAAATTATTTAATATAACAGTAATTGTCAATATATTTTCTGTTGTATTAATAATATAATTCATTTTAAAGGTAACTGGAATTGCTATTGCATCAAAATCATCACGCGAATCAGCTAAGCTTGTCAACATTTTTGATGCATCTATTGGATTAATACCATGTCGAGGTTACACATTGATACCTGGTGTTGATAATAAACAACGTCAACTTGTGCTTAATGGATGTTCTATTGGTGATGTCCCTACTGTTTACACAATCACAGGTTTAGAACCATATGAACTACCAGTAATAGGTAAATTTATAAGTCATAGAGGTTGTTAGATATACCTATATAATTAATTTTTTAATAATAGGTACATATATTGATTCAAGAATTACACCAGGATTTAATTACAAAGTACGTCCAGCTGGACATAAACATCATCTATTTAATGGAAACGCTTTGCAATTGGTAAATATTGGTATGGGTTATGGTAAACGAATTACTTTTAAACCTGATAAAAATAACTTGAACAACAATACTAATTATTTCTGGAGTGATTCATACCCGGATGGCTATGGTTTTGAACCTCAGGCTGTCTTTTGTGGAATGAAATTTGATATAATGGATGGTACATTAAAAATAGGACAAGCTACTGTATTCCGTAGTGATAATCCACAAATTGAAGATCAACAAAGCATTGTATGGATTTTATTTTTTCTAAATATACATAAGTAGTGATAATTTTTTAAATATTTTAGGTGAAAGGAAAATTAGGTTCCACTATTACAAAATATATTCATATTGATGTTACTTGTCATGTGGTATTAAAGGGTAATGAAGTAGTTGAAGAGTCACATGATCTTGGTGTATCTGGAACAGCTGTTGTTGTAAAATACCCTAAACAAAATGAGTCTCAGCTATTGTACGTTGATAATATTGGTTTAAGTTCTAAACTAAACATTGTTTTTATGAATCAAGAATCACATCTCATTTTCCAACCAATATAAATTAATCATCACTTTAATAATGAACTAAATATTTGTCGCAATAGAGGGCATTACAAAAAAATTATAATTGAATTTTGTTGTTCCTCATACAATAATTAAATATGATCATTACTGACTACTTGTAAAGTTTTTGAGCTTTTTCAGTACTGTAATGTTCAAAGTACTATTACATTGGCTTTTAAATTTATAAATCATTATATTCATTGATTTGAAGTAATCATTTTACTACATTGTATAATTAGTTAAAACTATTAATTTTATACTGAATTGATGATTAGAAGTAAGTTGCAGGGTTGGATGTTATGATATTATTTATAACTATTTTTAACAGTATTTTATAGTATTGTTTTACATTGTATGTGTTATTTTCTCATCCCTTAAGAATTATTAGGACATTTTATTTAATTTAATTATCTCGAAAAATGATGAAAATCGCCTTATTTTTTTTTGTCATTGTTTATACTTAAGAAATATTATCTGTATATTTATGATTTAATTTTATAATTTTTGGTTTTATTACTCATAAAATACATATAACTTATAAGAATATTTACATAATGTGTGACTGAATAATATTCATAAATGTTAAAAATGTATAACATGATTTAAAATTTTTTTATCACAAGAAAAAGATGTATTAAAAAAATAAATGTTTATATTGTTAAAGTCTATTTGTTTATACAATTTTTTTTTTGAATTGAATTACTGATACTTCATTTTCCTCACCTTTATCCCAACTACTTTGGGTTAGTCACCCTTATCCTAAACTTCCACTTGACATAATCTCCCACATAATCTAAGCACACATTATCTGTCTTCAAATCACATTCAATAGCACCCCTCCATCTCTTTTTTGGTCTTCCTCTACCTCTTCTTCCTTCAACATTCATTTCTATAACTGTTCTTACAGTTTTCGAGATTTCTCTCTTCTAACATGACCAAACCATTTAAGTCTATTTTATCATAATCCACGATTGATACTACCCTTATACTCCCTCATATATGTTAGTTCCTTATCCTATCTTCTCTAGTTATCCACTCATCCAAGGATTCTCATCTTTGCTGAATTACTGATACCATTTATTAGAATTATAAATATAACAAATTATTAAGGAACAAAATGTTTTTTAATTCGACATTGATAAAAATTAATATAATCAATAAAAAAGTGTTTAGTTGGCCTAGTTGCACCAGTTTGAAGAGTAGAGGTAAAATAAAAAAATTTAGCTCAATATAAACATTTTAGAACACAAATTTACTTGTCATTCTAAATTGGAATTGGACATCTAATATTATAAAGTTGCGTTATACAAAAATTTTTAATTTTTTAACTCTTACTTTTTCATTAAATATTCATATTTGATCGGGATGTATCCGCTCGGGATCCTTTTTGGGCCTATGCACGATTATAGATAAGACTATCTTCAATCGTGGATCTATGAATAATGATTTCATATCACTGAGTATACAAGAAAATTATGAAAAGTTTCTGATAAGAAATAACTGACAACGGAAAATAAATTTAAAATCATGTTATCAATTATTATCAATTATAATTATAAAATTATTATTTTTTTAATATATTTCATTTTATTCAAATCGTTAATGGTAAAAATAACTCAAACATTGCATTATTTAATAAATTTGTCATTAATAATAGTTCTGGTTGCTTTAAATTAAACAATTATGTTACAATAGATAATTATAAAATTCAAAATTAATTAAAAATTTTTTTTTATCTATACTGTTGTTATTTATTGGTGTAATCAAATATACTAGATTATTTGTAAGTTAAATTCAATTTTGTATATAAAACATTGTCTAGTAAAAATGAGTAAAAAATTAAAGACAACACCAAGAGAGGAGTTATCTAAAGGATTTCTATTGAAAGATACAAGTAACAATGAATGGGAGATTCAAAATATTATTGGAAGTGGAGGATTTGGTTATGTGTATTGTGGTAAGATATTAAAGTATTTTTTTTTTTTAAATTATACTAATTAAAAGTTTAAATTAATTTTTTTACCTTTCAACTTTGATTAATTTTTTCTTAGCTACAAAACACGGGTCTCGAATGAAAACTGAATATGCTGTAAAAACAGTAAGTATTTAATATTTTATTTGAATTAATTATACTGTAATATGGAGTAATTGAAATTAATTAAAAAAAACGAATTAGAAATGGAGAACTCTAGAATTTTAAAACAATATATTTATAGCTAAAAAATACTTCATTTTATAAAAATTTATTATATTGTTATAGGAAAATATGGAAAGTGGACCTCTATTTGTTGAACGAATGTTTTATCTAAAAAATTTAAAAGATAAAGGTAATTAAACTTTTTTTATTTTGCATAAAATTAAGTTTTTAAATCAATAGAAAACTATCAGAAGCCACATTTTCAAAAAAAAAAAATTGTTTGAAAATGTGGCTTCTAATAGTTTACCTTTGGTCTATAAAAGTATAGCTAGAATTCTATAAAATACTTATGTGCTATAAATAATATAAAGTGTTTATTTTAAAAATATAATTCCTGTACTAATTACAGTTTTTGAAATATTTAATACAAATTTTTTTCTAAACCCTTAACAAAAATTAATAAAAAATTTAAACATTCAATAAATATCTTTTTTGTTACAATGTTTTTTCCATTTATTTATGATTTCTGTGATATTATTATCTTGTTACTTAATTAATGAATAATAGTTTTAAATAGTAAAATTAAAGAATTTTTTTTGCATTATAATGGAAATTATATTCCAGCGTAGTAAAATTTTGATGATTTTGTATTTTTAGATATTGAATCATGGAAAAAAGAAAAGAAACTCAAAGAATTACCTATTCCGAAGTTTTATGGTTTTGGTAGTGCTGAATATAATAATAATAAATATAGATTTATTGTAATTGAAAAATTTGATCAGGATTTAGAATCTTTTTTAAAAACCATAAAAAGTAGTCTATTGTTGGGTGCAGTAATCAACATTATGCGACAAATAGTAAACTTTATTTTGTAAAATACTTTTAGTTTTAAATATTATTTTATTTAAATAATAATCTTAGATAGATGCATTGGAGTTCATTCATGTATGTGGTTATGTACATTGGGATGTAAAAAGTCAAAATATATTTATTGGTAAAAAACCAAAACAAAATCATGTTTATTTAGGAGATTTTGGTATGGTAACCAAATATAAAACTGAAGATGTTGTACCTAATAAAAAATTTGCAAATAATGGTACTCAAGATTATATTGCTTTAGATGGTCATGCTGGAAGTAAGTTTTTGTAAAATTTCTACTACAAAAAATTATTTTGTTAAATGTCTTTTAATTACTCTAAAAAATTAGAGTATATTATAAGTTAAAATATAGCCTCATTATGTTATAATTTATAGCATATTAATACATTCTAACTTAAGTTACAAAATTATAGTAATTTTTCAATTTTTAGTGCATACAAGGCGGGGTGACTTAGAAAGTTTAATGTACAATGGATTAGAATGGCTAAAGTTAAATTTACCTTGGAAAGGGCAAACACTTCTGAAATGTATAAAATCTAAATCGGAGATGAAAGATGCTCTACTTTCAGGAAAAGAATCAAAATATAATTTCAAAAATGTTCCAAAATGTAATTATATTTAATTATTGTTTAGTTATAGAATAAATCAAAATTTAGTGATAATTGAATAGAAATATCAATAATAGTAATATTCAGAATTTACTTGAAATATCAAATATTTAAAAAAAAATCATTATTATATTTTTATAGTATGAAGTGGACCTAGGTTTTAGTAGCCATAATATAGAGTTAATGTTTAGATATTTTAATTCTGGCCCCAGGGTTTTAAAAAAGTGTTTATTTAGAAGTGAAAGTTGAACCATACATAAAAAAGAAAGCTGGAGATTTTCAGTTAATTTGAACATTGTTTGATTATTATTTTTTGATTTTTCAAACAGAATTATAAATCATAAGGTAGATTTGATTATTTTTTATTTAAAATTCAATTATCTTACCAAATAAAACCTTATTTAAAAACTTAATAATTCATAACATTACTAAACATAAATAATACTCAAAAAAATAATGTACAAATGTATTGATAAACTCTAATTGTAATATAATTACATAGTAGTGTAAATAATATTAATTAGATTAAATTAGTATTTTGTTATTAATTAATCAACATTTTTTATATGAAAAATTAAAATTTACATTTATTTATCTAATTATTTTTATTATTCTCAGGCTATTATAAAACTATGAAAATAATTTATAACATAAAACCGGCTGAAGAACCCAATTATGCTATGTTAAAAAAATTATTAAAGCAATACAAATTAGAAAAATCTACCTAATTAAATTACAATACTATAATAAAATAATATTAATTTGAATTGATAGTAAAATAAAATGTTTTGTATAATTGTAATAAGTTGTAAATTGTATAATACAAGGCAAATTTTTTAATATTTAAATTTTAGTTGTTAAATTATTCCTTTGACGAGGAATTTCTTTTTATTGGTGTGCTGGAATTATATAGTTTATTCAGACTTTTTTTTCAATTAAAAAATAACAATCCATAATACTATTTTTTTTGATTTTTTGAAAAATAGTTTGGTGTAATGTAACACATGTAAACTTACATGTGTTATTTTTCTTAGATTAAAAATTTATAAAAATGTTTAATTTCTGAGATTAAGAAAATTCATTATTATAATTTCATTTTGTCCTATGAATGTTGTATTTATTTCATTAACAACGTAATACATTATGATTTTTTAAATACTTTTTCTAGTAATTTATATTTTAAATTAATATTTAATGAAAATCACACTATTTTTTTTTTATTTTTTATTTTGTAACGATTATGTGTTATAATAACTTTTTTTTATTTATTATTATAAAAACAATTAAATAATGACAAAAATGGGTAACTGTATTATTATGAAGTATAGAATTAATTATTTATAATCTCGTGAGTTATTTTAATTACAATATTATATTTGCCTCAAGTTTTGAAATCCTAGAGTATTTTTAAATAGGAAAATCATTAAAATATCACAGGTTATGAGTTATATTGAAACTTTTAAAATTTAATTATGTCCGTCATATTTTTTTAGCTTCGATGCGAAGCTGAGAAGGTATTGGTTTTACTATGATGTGTTTTTTTTAGCTTCGATGCGAAGCTGAGAAGATATTGGTTTTACTAAGATGTGTTTTTTTTAGCTTCGATGCGAAGCTGAGAAGGTATTGGTTTTACTATGATTTTTTTTTTTTTTTTTTGTGTCTGTTACCACTTTTTCTCAGCTCTCACCGAACGGATTTCTTTCAACGATACGTCAAAAGATCACAAATCGTATCTAGTCGAAGACATTACCCTTCAAAATTGAAAAAATTTCCCACATTCCCCGTAAATGGGGAAACCTCCGAAAAAATTACAAATTTGAAAATCGCTAATTTTTGATATTTTTTCAATATTTTTTACTTAAAATTGCTAGAACTTATTGAAAAATGAACATATCAATGTAATTTTTTTTATAGATGCTTGATGTCTTTACCTATTATTTAGTATATTTTTTTTGTAAATTTGACCTTTTTTCTGCCCACAGGGGGAGATTTAAAAAGACAACTTTTTCAACTTAACTTTTGAAAATGTTCCGGAAGGTCTGACACTTTTATATATATCTTAAATTAAAGCTTATGTAATATACTTTAATTTGAAAAAAAAAAATTTGACCTCTGGACTTGTCTTCGTGGTGAAAGTTGACATCAAAGTTAATAAAAAATTACGATTTTTGTAAAATAATTTTTTTTTATATTTTTAACTTAATAATGCTCTAACTTTTTCAAAAATGAACATATCAATATAATTTTTTTTTATATAGATGCTTGATGTCTTTACTTATCATTTGGTATATTTTTTTTGTAAATCTGACACTTAACCAGCCCACAGGGGGGGATTTAAAATGACAACTTTTTCACAAAAAATTTTCTTTTTCAACCTCTGGACTTGTCTTCACGGCGAAAATGGCTACCGAATGCTTTTTTCGTGTGAAAATTTTCGATTTTATTATTTATATTATATTTAACTTTATAATGCTATAACTTATTGAAAAGCTTATGGATCCACACAATTTTTTTATGACAAATAATATTTTTTAATAAACCCTTTTTCATTCGACATACTTTACCTTAATCAGGATATTAATAAGGAACCAGCAGATCAAGTAGCTTTTGGAATAAAACACCAATTTTTTTAAAATTAAACACTATCTAAAGATTTGCATCGAAGCGTTTATTTTTGATAGTGATTTTAATCACTGTCAGATATCATTTACTTGATCCAACTATGCCACGTCACCACTGTGCCGCGACCCCCCTGTGCTGGGTTTTTTTATTACATATTTTTTATTGAAGCTATATAAGAGTGTGAGTATAGAAGGTGTTTGGGAGTTCACACCTTTTTGCAATATCAAAATTTGAATTGATAAAGTGCATTATAAACAATGGAGAGGGAATTTAATAGGAACAATACATTAAACAATCTAGTTCGTATACATGACATATATTTTTCTCTCGACAAAATTTTTCAATTACAAACTTTTCAAGTGAAATATGTATCACTTGGTACGTTAGTTGCGTTTATAAAATTATACAAGCCAATATCAAATATTATGATAATTGTTAGATTTTTCACCTTTAGACGCTTTACAATGGAATAAAGTTAGATAACTTGTCAGTTGTATTCTATAATGACAATATGTGTGAGTAGTAATTATTGGCTAACCTAGATAAAAAAATTGTGCCTCCAATGCAGTAGTCCGTCAAAATTCCAGTAAGTGTGAAATCAGAGTATAATTACAACAATCAATCTTAGGGATTGGAAGGGAAATAGGATTTTACTATGCCTACCCCGTGGTAAAAATTGTTTTTTCATCTCCACTCGACTATTTTTGTGACAAACACATGTAAATGTATATTGTAATTTATTTACGACACTATTAAAATTATTTTTTTTCATAAATGGTTTAGTGACAAAATTTTCAAAAATAAATTTCTTTTTTAAATCTCGTTCTGTATGAACTATTTATAGTTTTATAGAATTTTAAACACATTGTAACTTAATATAATATTCAAAGTTTATGTATTTCACCGGTATTATACATGAATTTGTATATAAATCAGTTGTAATTATAGAGTCAATTAAGACCATCTCATAGCGGATACACGGGAAGGTATCACAAGCCCCCCCACTTGACAATATTTTATCGCTGTATACGGAAATTTTTTAACATAAAGGCAGATTAAAAAAAAAATTTACGTAATTAAATGATTTAGAGGTAATAATAATTATTTATATTTTTAGCTTTGGGGTCTTAGGAGCAATAACGTATTTCCTAGACATATTTGTATCTAGACGAATGTTTAAACTATATGTATAAACTAATATCAAGAATCATAAATTATCAAATAGTTTTTTGTATATTTTAATTATATAGTTAAATTAATATAAGCGTTTTTCTTCTAAAAGTGTATAAATTAAAAATCAAAGAGAAGTCATTGATGTATTATAATAGTTGATTAACTGTGAAAATGTTTATATTGGTAAGTTTTTCAGATTTTCGTTTATACAATACAATTCAGAACTCATTAATCCTACTAATTTTGGTTTAGTCCAAATAACGAAAATAATAAAATTACTCAGAGATAGTTAATTTTAACTTTGGTTTTGTTATTTGTAGTGCAGTATTTTTGTAAACAGGGAATTGATTAATAGCTGATGTATGCAAAGTTTTAAAAACCGAACACTCGTGTTATTGCGATTCCATTTACTTATTAGTATATAAAAAACAAATGTCGAAGTCCTGACTTAGAGGCGCGTTTTCAAATAAAAATAAGCTGATGAGGGGACTTTAACCAAAATTAGAAATCAATATGTAAATAATTGGGTTTGGATTGTTTGTGGCGAACACGCTTGCACATAATAGACGAAAAGAGTATAATAAATAAATAAATTGTATGATTTGTTAAATGGGCATAATTGTATAAAACGTAATTTGAATTTAGTCGTAAGTGTGTATTTAAATACCTACATCATTTGACAATATAATGTAAAAATTAATACATAAATGACATACATTTATGTTTGTCACTTTACTAATATTTTAAGAGTGTGTTTACTGTTGTGGTTTTCAGTTATTTTTTGTTAAGAGTTTAAAATTCTTGTGTATTCGCTTCATTCAAAGTATGGTTATTATCGGTGATATACCCAGGAACAGGTGAGAGGCGTATACAAATATATGGTGAGAATAAGGCCGTCGATATGCGACAGAGTAAAGCCGCTACGCCTTTTCGAGTCCGTGTCAGATAGTAACGCCCTAGACTCTGTTTTGAAGGCTCGGTCTTCGGGCGGCGCTTTCAACCGTAGGCACGAGGACTCCAATTTGAGATTGTACTTGATCGGACGGATGTTTAACGGCGCACGGAAAATGCCGATAGATCGTGAAACTTACCGCGTTTTCCGGTAAAACTCCGCTCCAATGTGGAATAGATCTCAGTGAAATTTGGGTATCCGGTAATTGCAAACCCAACCGCGCTGTTGAAAGCTTTACTACGCTTAGCCCCGACTGACGTGATGAAACGGATGTGAACAGGGTGGCTTTGATTAAAAACAAAAATAATAATAATAAAATAATTTATTTATTTACTGAAATAGTAAAATAAATCTAAATTAAACCTAGAATATAATTGTGGGTAAATGGTATTTATTAGTTTCGGCTTTAGGTCATTTTTGGACTACTCTATAAGTAATAAAAAAACAATTAAAACGAAATAAACACAGCTAAATTTAATATTGAATTTATTATGTTATTTTAATAAATAAATTTATTGAAACAATTAAAAGGGTGTAAATAAATAAAATTATTAAAAAAAAAAGTTAATAATTGAAAAATTTACATACCTGTGCAGAAAACAATAATTATCAATTGTATAATTATGGATCGTAATATTATTTATACGAGAAACCGTAATTACGTTACACTTTTTTATATTTAATAGTGGGTGATTAACACGACTCCAATCAACAAATTTATCTAAATTTGATTGTAATTTTAATGAATCATTTGGAGATTTAACAACCAAAAATATTTTGGTATCGTCGACAAATAAATGGATGTCAACCGAGCTATCAAATATAGAAGATAAATAATTAATGAATAATTTAAATAAGAGGGGACCTAAGTGAGACTCTTGAGGAATACTAAAACTAACCAAAATATCATATGAAACATAAGTAGAAAATATTATTGTCTGCATAATTTATAAAAAAAGTAATGTTATGGTTTACTGTATTAAACGCTTTTTGAAAGACAGTATAAATAGTGTCCAATTGGATACACTCATTGAGGGCCGAAAGGATAGAGTATAATATAAGTGGATTCAATATTTTGGTCAAAAACCTTATTGGTTTTTACATATGAAAGGATACATAATTAAAGACAACTTTTTGGTAATTAAAGCTTATAATGTTTTCGGAATAAGGAACATTTTGGAAATCTGTCTATAATTTCCGACATCATGTTTATATCCAGATTTATGCACTGGTGTTACAAAAGATCTTTTCCAAATGTTGAAAAAATACCGAAATGTAGTGATTCATTGAAAATCAAATGAAGTGGTCGTACGAGTACTGTGTATTTTAAAAATGTAGGTGGTATAAAATCAGGTCTGATCTCATGATGATAAATTTAAATTTTACAGACATTAAATAATAAATAATTAATTCCAATCAGATCAATAGTCTAGGAGCTTAAATTCAAATATTGAACCCATCAGTTGGATGAAAAACTTTTCCAATGAGTCGGAAGGAAAAGTTGGTAAATAAATACTGGAAAATTAATTTGCAAATAACTGGGAAGTTTTAGTAATATCAGATGTGGATGAGTCATTATAAATAATGCAACCAGGAACAATACTATTTGACTTTTTTCGAGAATTAATATATTTTTAAGAAGGTTTGATATTTGTTTGAATACTATTTTCGAGATTAGAAATATGTTGAGCATTTTTTGCTGAGATTAGAAAATTCTAAATAATTGTTATCAAAAGCAAATAGTTTGAATTTTTTTTGTGTACACTTTTTTTTTATTATACATTATCTGAGTTTAGCATTAGCCTAAACAATGGAATAATTATTAAATATTTTAGTAACTTATATTTTTATTTATAACAACTAAAACATCACCGCCCCGTTTTTTGACTAATAACAAATTATTACGATCATCATAATATAGATAATAATTGATGAAACTAAGTTCCGAATTTACTATGTTATCATTTAACCAAGTTTCATTTAAACAAATTATATTATAATCAACATTTAATAATGCATTACGTAAAAAAGATATCTTATTTAAAAGACCCCGGATATTCTGATAAAAAATATTAATTATAAAAGATGTTTAGTACGAGTAATAGAACGGTAGTTCATAGAAACGATGACTAAAGTTCCTCTTACGTATTTGATGATTAAATCATTTTCGCTATTTCATCTACAAGGATCTAATTAATCAAAGAATTTCTTCATAATGTTCCTCTAACAAAAAGTGCGATCCGAACTGATATTAATAGTGAAGGTGGTTGTAAAGATAACAATATTTTTTCTGACTTCAATATTTCAACACATCAGGTGGTGTGTTAAATACATCCAATTGGATGGAAATTATTTTAATTATACCAAGACGAATAATTTTTAATGGTTAAATACTATTACCAATAATAATAGAGTCGTTTCGAGTATTTAAAATTTCAATTTTTTAAAGAAAAACATTTTATTTCATTACAAGTAAGACTAGAACACTTATTATAAATTAGTAATTTACAGTCATCACNTTAATTAAGTAAATTAGTAATTAGTAAAATTAGTAATTAGTAATAATTCAATAGATATATCAAATTCAGGAAACATAAGATTACATTTGTAACAGTTAACACTATTGGAAGAAATATCAAAAAGAATAAATACAAATAATTAGAACGGAAAACAGAAAAGCAGGTAAAGAGATAAGCGCAACCTATTAAAATATTTGTTTGAAGTTTTAGTTATTGATTAAAATGTCGTAATTAAAGGTAATATATCAATGCTTTTTCAAACAAATGTATGTTTTAAAGACAAATTAATTATAAAGAAAAAGTTATTTCCATTTCTTAATTTTGTTACTGAAAATTCAAAATCTAGGCACTGAACTTAAAAATTATTACAATTAAATAAACTGCATAAGTTCTAAATATTAAATATTACTCTATGATTCATATAATTGGGGGCGCAATCTAGAGAAAAATATTTACATGATGAATGTACAATTGCATTTGTTGGAAGATGAAATACAAAATATTCTTATGCAAATTTCCTCCCTCATATCAAAATTCTAATTATGCTACTGTTTACAACTAAGAATTAAAAAAAAATAATTATTTGACTAAAAAGTATACAAATATGTCACTTTTTACACTCTGTATTATATGGTACCAACTTGATGACCTATGAAAGATAGACTACTCTTCATTGCACTAATAATAATAAATACCATTACAATAAAATGAACTCTCTCGTTTTGGCGCTTTTCTGGAATAAAATCCATTATATCTTAAAGGCATGATATTGGATAAATCGGGTTAATTTTATACAGGATGAATCCGATCCAATTGGCAAATATTGGAGTTTTTAATTCAAGTCATTTCGCTGTAATGTTTTAAAATTAATTTATACTTTGTTAAAAGTATATTTTAGCTTCGATGCGAAGCTGAGAAGATATTGGTTTTACTAAGATGTGATTTTTTTTGTGTCTGATACCACTTTTTCTCAGCTCTCACTATACCGATTTCTTTTAATGATGTGTCAAAAGATCACAAATCGTATCTAGTCGAAGACATTAGCCTCAAAAATTGAAAACATTTCCCACATTCCCCGTAAATGGGGAAACCTCCGAAAAAATTACAAATTTAAAAATTGCTAATTTTTGATATTTTTTCAATATTTTTTACTTAAAATTGCTATAACTTATTAAAAAATGAACATATCAATGTAATTTTTTTATATAGATGCATGATGATTTCATTTGGTATATTTTTTTTATAAATCTGACCCTTTACCTGCCCACAGTGGGGAATTTATAATAACAACTTTTTTACAAAAAATTAACTTTTTCAACTTGACTTTTGAAAGTCTGACACTTTTATATATATCTTAAATTAAAGCTAATGTAATATACTTTATCATGGAAAAAAAAAAATTCGGACTTTATTTTGTCTTCATGGTGAAAATGGCTACCAAATGCTATTTTTGTGTGAAAATTCTCGATTTTATTTTTTACATTTTACATCAATACAATTTTTATGAGAAATAATATTTATATCCCTCTTTTATTCAACATACTTTATCTTAATCAGGATATAAATAAAGAAATAGCAGATCATGTAGCTTTTGGAATAATCAACCAATTTATTAAAACTAAACACTATCTAAAGATTTGCATCGAAGCGTTTTTTATGATAGTGATTTTAATCACTGTCAGATATCATTATACTTGACCCAACTATGCCACGTCACCACTGTGCCGCGACCCCTCTGTGCTGGGTTTTTTTATTACGTGTCTCATAAAAAATTGTTATTTGTACATATTATTTACAATAAATGTTTTTTCACATTTATTATGATTTGAAGTTATAAAGAAAGAAAAAATGGCTTTCAAATCATAAAAGTATATTGTTTGTGTTCATGAATCATAACCTTATTTAAGAATTGAAAAAAAAAAATACATTGATTAACTAAGTGGTAATGAATTTTTATAAGATAGAAGTATCATAGTATTTTTTTTATAAATTAGTAGTGAAAATACAATTTTTGTACGCTTTATTTTCTATTTCACAACATTGAAATTTCCCCGTCGATGTCTTTGATAGTTCTTAACAAATAAATGAAAATATTGCTGGCAGTTGTTGATTTGTTGAAAAAGTTGCCTAAAACATGTTTCAGAGGCACTTGTAGATCTTAAGGCTGATGACATGCGCCGACCCACAGTCCTTTGCTGTCCAAACGCTTCGACTCTATAGTTGCTGCTGTAAGGTACACTCGGTGTTTTGAGCTTTTCACCAGTCGCTCCACGCAGTCACTCCTATTTGGGAGTTCGCTATCAAATGCTCCGTCGCGGTAAACGTTACACATGTTCCTACAAATACGCCGCCACAGTCCGACTGTGTTGTAGTTAAGTGGCATGTCATGTCACGGTAATATTGACCGTCCAAAATCATCGGCATGGTTTTTGGATCATTTTAACAAATTCAGTTGTTATTTATCTATTTCATTTTAGACGGTTTTTGTCTATTTATTAAATTTGTTAAGTTTTGTTTTTAGTGAATTTGTATATAAATTAATTCAAATATTTATTCTTAGTGGTGTATCGCGATTATCGTGTGTACAGTGATCTCAAATATTATTAAGGACGAATAAACGTGAACTTTTGTTCAGGTAAATAACGTGAAGTACATCCTAATCATTTAACTGTTTTTACCCATTCCGAAAAAATAGGTTCATTAAAAATAGAAGTTTTTTCTTAGGATATAATACGAACAAAAAGTAATATACAGTGTCATTAATTTTATTTTCGTGACAAGAAGTTTTGTCATAAACATAAAAACAGTACATGTTTATAGGATTTCTGATTTTTAGTGGTGATATACTTTTTAAATTAAAGTAGCGTTGACAATTATGTCTAAAATATTTTAACGGCACTTAAAAGACGTTGTCTATAAGATATGAATGTTATATTTTTTATAAATTGACTTTTAGAAATTTTATATGCAATATAACACACAAAAGTTACTTGAAACTATATTAAAAAAGTTTTTCGCGAGAAAAATATTACCTAATAACAAAAATTTATTTTTAATTTACCTTTTTGTTTTTTTTTTAATTTTCAAACCAAAAGTTTAAGGTACGTAAGTCATTTTTTAAAAAGTTAAGTACTTAGCATTCGTGCTGCAGATTGACTGAAACCGTAGTGATATTATAGTTTTCGTAATGAAGATGATGATATTCCCCTTGTTTGACTTCCATGCGAAGCTGAGAAGATTTTAAATCTACTATGATGTAATTTTTTGAGTGATTATTACACAAATACTCAGATGTCATTGGACCGATTTTGCTAAAAAATACGTCGAAAGATCAAAAATCATAACTAGTTGAAGAAATTATCTTCAAAAATTGAAAAATATTCCTTGTTCCCCGTAAATTGGCAAAATCTGCCAAATGTTACAACTTAAACAATTTTTAAAACCTTATTTAACGTTATATAATATTCTTTAGCGCAAATGCCAATCATTCTACTTTCATGTTTTACTGAATTATTGACATTTTTATTAATTAGGCAAAAATAAACAATGATTTTTCAAATAATCCAAATTATGATATTCTTAATTAATGAGATCCACATTCATCTCATATGAAATCACATTTAAATAAATTATAATATTATTTCATATCATTTAGTTTTTAAATATTAAAATATAGAATATAATATGTAAGTGTAGTTAATAATTTAGTTGAAATCAATCGCATAAAAATTAGTATTCGACTATGTCTCTAACGGTATCGAATTTTTTCAATCCAGTGATAACAGACTATGTCACACAATACTTAATAGCTCTATATCAAAAAGGGTTTTATGCTTAAAAATTTAAACAGCTGAAAAAGAATAATATATCGTTTTGATAAAATTTCTTCTGATGAATAATCATAAATATTATTGAATCCAAATAAGCATGTCACACTTAAATTGATATTGAACGTAATTTTACTCTTAAAATATAATTTTATGCAAAAGCAGTTTTTGTTTTAATTCCGATTATTGCCAATCCAAAATTTTACAGCAATCTAGAAATATCCAACTTTTATTGTTAATATTTGAATTTTTTTCATGAAATCGGTATTCTTTAATTCTATTTTATATTAAAGGTTATATAAAATATTAGATACAAAAAAAATAAATCTGACCTCTGGACTTTGTGTAAGTTAAAGAAAAAATAATATTTTTCTGTAAAAACCCAAAAAATCTATTTGTATAGTTCAAAAAAAAATTACTTTTGGAAAAATTGTTGTACAGTTTAGTAACTAGCTTAGTAATTGCATTTGGAAGTAAAGAGAGGGTGGCCTTTTTCGTGTTCTCTCACATCGAAGCGTTTCATGTTACTTAGTGATATTCATTAATGTCAAATTTCAATCTATGCTGGTGTCCACTTTGCCACGTCTTCTCTGTGCTGAATTTTGTTATTTTGTAATTTTGCTCTGTTTCACACTTTCATAAATGTATTTAGTTTTGTTTTAAGTTTTCATAATGTTTCCAGATTCAAAAGACATTTAGAAATTTTATTACTACTTGGCAATTACATTTCAAGTTCTTTTCATTAAATTTGTTTACTTTTTAGTTTGAAGTGTAACATTTAAAATTTTAGCAACATTATAATTACAATAACAAAAAATAAAAATAACGATTAAAAAAACCATTTAAAATTTATGTTACGAAAGTTTTTCTACTTATTTATTTAATAATTTTGTTTAATTATTTAGCAATTTTATTTTTCGATAAAAAATAACGTAAAATAATTGAAGAAAATTTACGATTTTTTTGTAAGACCACGTGCTTAATAAATTGAGTATACTTATAGAATAATTTTAGGTGAGTTTCATTAATCTGAGAAGATTTCAAATAAAATACTTGATTAAGATGGCGTTAATTATTATAACAAATCTTATAGGAGGTGATATTTTAGATAAGTCATTGTTATAATCATTTGTTTTTGATAGTGATATATTTTAATACAAGTTTTTATGTTTGAGCTGGTTTCCCGTTGTCATTGATTTAAAAAAGTTTACACGACAAATCGGAAATCATAGAACGGTGTCTATACTATCGTTCAAAAACCAATTTACGGTATTTATATAATAGCTAAGCTGTAAATGGTTTGTAAAATAAGAAACTTCATAAAGAATCATTTTTCGATACAATATAATTCTTACTCATTTAGAATCTAATAAAATTAATTCATTATTGATTTTTCTTGAAGTAGCTTTTAATTTATTCAATTGATAAATGCATTAAATATTTGTGTATGATCTTCAATTATATCTGTTGTTTATAATATAAAATTCAATTTGTAGTTCTTCAACCTTATGTTTACTATTTTAAATTTTTTTTAATTTTATATGAAGTGTTATGATACATAGTAAATATTGTATAATCAAAATTACAAACTATGAAACTTAATTTCTACTAAAATTTCGATTGATTGGGCAGACTATAAAAAAAAAGATTTATATTTTTCTATTTTGTAGTGATAAACTCGTTTATCAGAGTAGATAGTCCCTCATGACAGCATTCCAAGTAATCAATTTTCTTCAGTTCAGTGTTTTGGTTGTTAAATGGTTCCGTAATAAATAAAAAAAAAAGAAGAAAATTATATAATAGGGCTTGAGAATTGTATTATAATAGAAGGTAATGGGTATCTCGAGACTAGCCACCAAGAAAGAAACTCTTACTAGATTTCTCTATTAAATAAATATCTAAAGTTAGGTAAATGTAAATATAAAAACTAAAAAAAAAAAATTATTTATTATTTAATTTTCAAGTTCTAATTGAAATTTATTTCTATGTCAAGAAAAATCATATATTATTGTTTCTCTGACACTAATCTTAATAAAACGTTTCTCCAAAACAAAATTTACTTTTACTTTCTAAGTATTTATTTTAAAAAGTAAATTAAGTCCAAAGAAATTAAAAAAAGACAAATGGTCATTTAAATTGAAAATTCGATTATGTCCCAGATGAAGAACTTAGAGCAAAGTGTCGCAGATTATGTGTAAATGTTTTTACTGAAAAAACTGGTTTTAGAAGAGAAAAATGGCTATTTATAGTCAGCTCTCACTATAAATAGCCATTTTTATCCTACCGTTTTCGAGGATTTTCCCTAGTGTAATCTTAAATGATAAGCATTTTAATTACAATTGGCTAATTATGATAGAACCCCTGCTCGTGGACGTTACTTTAAAATATGTATGACAATTACATTTTGCTCCATAATTAGCTAGTTATTTTGTATTTTCAAGAGGGGACAACTGATTTGGTAATTTGGTATATTTATAAAATGTGACATACATGTACAGATTAAAGCATCATATTATATGTTAATACTATAAGCGATAATGATTATTTTAAAAGTGAACAATTAATTTACTTTGATTACATTTTTATTCTGAGGGTCGTATTTTACAGAGATTTACGCAAATGTGCTAATCGATTTATAATTTATTACTTGAGAAAATTACATCATTAAATAGCCATTATTTTAGAACTTATAAAAAAAATAAAATATTCTACACGAAAATCTGAACTTAAGTATCTATTGACATAAAAACTTCCATAAAAAATGAATTTAGTTTAATCTTATATATAATAAGGTTATTAAACGATTTAATTATAATTAAATATGTATGAATATATTGAACAATTTTTATTTTATTTATTTATAGGTTCTTAAAAAATGATGATTATAATCCATAATTCAAAATAAATACTTTATTTAAATTTGATTTTGTTGTTTAAAGTGATGTGTATTTCCTGCTGCAGTGATTTGGCTTTGTTATTTTAATGTAATATTTGAATATATTTTTCTTACCCTCAAGATAGATATAGTTTAAATATTTTGAACCTCACGTTTGTGTCCTTAATAAATTACCGAATTATTTGAGTTTTAACTTAAAATATTGCAAAACTTAACATAATCCTATATATACTTTGTAGAAGTCATTAACGAAAGTCTAAGGAATTCAAAGAAAGATTAACACGCAAAAACTATAAATAATATCTTAACACTATTTAGAGTTAAATTTACTTGCGTGTATAACAACAAATGCAGGAAAAAGTCTTAACATGAGTTTCATAAATCGTGTATATGGACAGGGGTTGTTTTACAAACTTTGATGATATCATAATTTTATAAGTAAATTATAGAAATAAACTTAGTAATAAGTTAACTAGTAATTAACTTTTAGCTCTATCTTATTCTTGATACACATTATTTATATTGTGATAATAAAATCCGTTGCATTAAATGTACAATTTAGTAAAATACTGAGTATATGGGGCGCCGTGATTGAATATACTGTATATTTTATCAAGACATCCGAAAAAAAATTATAACTATTAATTGAAATTTTAATTCTAGAATTAGTTGCAATGTGTTAAATTATAAAACAAACTGTTTAGGTAAATATAAAAAGTTTACAAAAAAAGCGACATTAAAAATATTCTGCTATGTAATAATTTACTTAACAGAATAACATTAGTCCGAATAGAATTGGAATAAAATCAATCTATTAGGATAATAATGTACAATTATTGTTATTTTTGGAGTCGGTGCTAGCTCAGGTTAACAAGCGCGTGAGCTGACACATGATAACATTTACTGATAAAGTACGAATACATTTAATATTACAATTGACAACAAGACAGCAGACGTATGGCGTTGAACAGTACGAGGAGCAGCAATATCGACATTCAAAAACGTCTGTCCTCACACGTCTACCCGCGCTCCTGTCGCTTACTCAAGCATGTTCCCCTCCCGCCTTAGCGATTTTGCCACCGCTGTGCCATGTACTGTTCAATTACAGACGTCTGTTGTCTTGTCGTTGATTATGAAACACGTTGATAAACGTTTAACTTTCACCGGCACCGACTTCTAATAATTGTTTATTATCATCCTAACAAATTCATTTTATTCTAATTCAAATCCGTTTAATTTACTCTGTTTAGTGCAGATAACAGATATTTTTGAAATCGGTTTTTTTGAAAACATTTTTTTTTTTTTACTTTTTATTGAATTTTTTAAATTATCTAGTATGTGATTTAATGATGATGCCGGAAGGTAGGTAGTTCATTTGGGTCTATTCTAGTAATCGTAAACACTACTGAAAGGTCACATGAAAGCAAATATGAAATTTCGTTTACTTGATGACTATTATTTTTGTTTCTTTCAATTGGGTTTATATTTTTCCAGTTACTATTTTTATTTAAAAATCAAATTACTGAACCGATTTTAATGAAATTTCTATCGGAAGTAACAAACATAAAATACAACCGTATGATAACCTCACTCTAAGTCGGTTAAAAAATAATAAAATAATTACGTATTTTTTCGTACTTCATGAACTAATTATTTTTGTTCATATGGCTTTGAAAACAAAAACAGGATTTGCATTTCAGTATCTGTAGTTTCTTTATTGTCTAATATTTATAATTTGAGATGTAATGGTAATAGGAAAAATCATGAGCTTGAGATTAGGCTTTATTACTTGTGTGATGACACCATATCCTCATATTCATCTTCGTACACATCATCACAATTACATTTACATCACTTGTTTCATTTCTTTTATTGTGTTACGACACTTGACTTTAACACATTTAGGACTAATTATTTTAATTTATCAATTTTAATAAATATATATGATATTATGTATCGAAATGATTAATATAGAATGATTTGTTTTATGTGAGGCATAAAAAGGTTAATTGTTGTTAAAATACATGTTAATTTTAATGGTACCTCTAGTTTTTTATAAATTTTTGGTTCTTTGATCTCTGATATTTTGGAATCTATGCAAAACTTCATTCAAATCCTTGGACGTGATCATATTACTATTATTTCGTTGTTTGGAATAATATGTCAAAAGCAAAACCTTAAAGTACGATAAATTAATATGATGTCCATTACTCTGGCGTACACATTCAACGTTATTAAGTCTGTTATTATCATTTATGATAGATCACCAAAAGACTCGGTGTTCCTTTTATTAAATTTTTCATTCCATTTTATTCTCGGCCACTTGCTTCGTTATTATCATTTTTAAAGAAGACTTCACGAATCTTATTCTTTAAACATCCGTCAAGCAACATTTTTATTAATCGTTAACACTGTCGTTCTTAATTACAAAGTTTAGATTTTTATAATTTTATTAATAATTAATTAAACTAGTAGAAATTATAGTACAAAATAATTTCATCTTTCGTGATAAGTAAATGTATTATTTCAATAAAAATTTAGTTATTATTTTTATTAAAAATTATTAAAATATATAATAACTTTTTTTTAAATTTACTATGAAAAGGTATTTTCTAAAATAAATGTTGCTTTATTAATTTTCTTTTCAACCTTTTTTATTAAATAAAATAAAATTTCTATTAATTTAAAAGTAATGGAATTTCAACAACACTTATCTAATTATTATTGTATAGTTATTTTTAATAGTCAAGGCAGCAAAACAAAATTGTACTCTTTTAAATTAAGTTACTAATTATAAATGTTTTAAATTTAATATAGTATATAGTTATAATATTGTATTTAATTAAAAAAAAGGCTGCCAATCTTAGACCTCAAAATTATGAACCCTAATTTTTATAGTAGTAAATAACATTACGTCCCTAGTACAGAATGCAATGGGGAACTACTGGGGGTCTATTTTTGAGCTTGGATTAATCATTGGCGAATGTTTTAGTACACTAAAACATTAGACTATGATTTTAGTGCACTAATGGAAATTCGTATTTTTTATCATNGATTATGATTTTAGTGCACTAATGGAAATTCGTATTTTTGAATTTTATTTTTTATCAGTCTAAAAATCTTGCACTAATCGTACATCGTCTAATCTAATGTCATTTCAAACCAATAATTATTAGTGCGATATGTTAAATTATATTGGCTGTACTGTATTTTATATTAATTTTACAGTTAATACTTGATAATATTTATGATAACTACAAAATTCACCCATAAGAAATTTGTCACGAGTTTTTTGTCAGTATTTTTTATTTCAATTTGTGTAATGTTTTACAATGGAGGGGAAAAAAAGTCAATAAGTGTGACTTATGAACAAAAACAATTATTAATTGAATTTGTTCATAAGCACCCAAAATTAAATTCTAAAATATTTGGACCATCTTTTACCATGAAAGATGCTCAATTATTATGGCAAAATATTACCAAGATTTTAAATGAAACTGTTGGCCCAAAGAAGACACTAGCGAAAAATCGTAAAGCTATTAGTACCTATCGCGACAAAAATTTTATTAAATTTTACTTATTGTTTAGTCAATATTTTGCATACTTTGCGCTCTATACTTAGAGCAGACTTTCTCGATGGGGGTTCTAAATATGGGCGTAGCTCATTAATTAAATTTAATGCAAGAACTTTTGTCAGTCTAAATTTTCGTATAAATGCCCTTTCGGACAAAACTACAGAAAATAACATTTTATTAATGTAAATAGATAATTTTATATATTGTAATTTGTTTTGTAACATACCAATGAACGGATCCTCCGCTAAACGAAATTTCATTGTTGAATGGCCATTATCTTCAACTATTTCTAAATTACTAATAACTTGCACATAATTTATATTAAGAAAGTGTTCCATTTTATATACAAATTCCAATTTACTACAACTCCTTTTTAATATCAAGTTACATTAGAAAAGTTAAATATATATAGTTTTTATAATGAATTGATTTTTTTAATTACTGTTTAATTATTAAACAGTATTTATCTCAAAAACTACATGTGTTGGAAAGAATCTGAAGCCAAATCCTGAATTAGCGTTGAAATTCCTGGACGATAAAAAATATTTCATCATTTGTTGTCCTGTGTATTTAGTCAAGACTTTCAAGTACTTTTTGATAAATTTATTTAAAACGAGGTGTGAACATTATTTTGTACTTTTCTTTATTACAAAAGTTCTACACGGCTTTTCAGTGTGATTTACAAAATATTGTACAAAGTTTTAAGAGCTCTAAATATAGTTAATGTTAATTAGAAAGTTAATGCTCTAATTAAAATGTTTTGAATAAGTCTTTAGTGTAGTTAAAATTTTATATTACAGTGTTTAGCTTTTAAACAACCATTGTTTATTTAATATCAAATAGTGTAAAACTAAATATTGTATAGTATACAGTGTTTATGAAAAAAACTTTCACAGTTAACATTTTATATTAATTTGTTTTATACTTTGATTTTCCGAAAAACATATCTAGTAAAATTTTAAATTCTTCGTAACTTAATGAAACATTTTATTATATATTTTATTTTGTCATTAGAAAACTATTTTTACACGATGAATACATATTTTAGATCTTATAGTATGATATTTCTTTAATTATATATTTTTTATAGCAAAAAATATTGTTTTTAATTAACTATTATATTCTATGAGTATATGAGCTCTATTTTTCTCAATTTAAACTAAATAAGAAAAATGTCTAATTAATTTTTTGAATTGAGACTGTAGTTAAACATTTATAAACATCGGTATTCGGACAGTATTTATAGAAGACTAAAGAGGTGAAAATCATCTTGAAATCCATATGATGACTTAATTTTTTACCGAAAAAAATATTTACAAATATATATATAAAATTATATTTAATAATCATTAATACTTTTAAATATGTTTTTTAGGTAAACACTTAATTGCAACTTCAATCAAATGTGAAAATTATTTATGTTAAATTTGAAATGTGTTGGGCTTTACCCGTGAATTCTGTCATGATTTGGCTAATTATTATTGCATCCTTAACTCCCATAACGGTTAAATCAAATCACACGGGCTGGTTAAGGCGAGTGCCCATCCAAGCAAAGTTTCCTGAAGTGCGTATGCGGCACATGCGACATTCAGGGATTTTCAATAATCAGTCGAGTCATACTTTTTTGTGGCCAGTTAAAAAAGAAGCCGTAGTGGAAGGCGATTTGCTTCTAGGTGGACTTATGATGGTACATTCTCGAGAGGATACACAGTTTACATGCGGCCCAATTATGGCTCAAGGCGGTATACAAACTGTGGAGACCATGTTGTACACCTTAGATCAAATTAATAAGCGATGGACAAAATTCAAAATAGGTGCTTTGATATTGGATGACTGTGATAAGGATACGTATGGTTTAGAAATGGCTATTGATTTTATAAAAGGTCAGTAATTTCAAATTTCTTTTGTTCTTATACCTATAATATTTTATAGATTTAGAATACTATTCTAAAATACTAAAATAAATAAAATACAATAAAATTTAATGTTTGAACACTCACATTATAAATTATTTATTAGATATTAAAATTATAAAAAATGTTTAAAATTTTATAAAAATGTATTTGTTTTAATTTTGTTTATAATATTTCTATTTTTACTACCTTTTATTAAAATAAAATTATAAATCAATATAAATATTTTAATTAACGGAAAAGAAAATTTCTAAATGAAATTCTGTATATTCATTAATTAAATTTTTGAACATAATGTTTTTTTATTTTCGTTTAGTGCAAATACATTACACGCTATATTAAAATAAAATTATAATTTTAAGATCACAGTAAATACTATTTTAACAAATAATTTTTTCAAGATGTCCATAGACAAATTCAAACTTAGCTAATTTTTTGAAGTATTTTCTAATTAAAACTTTTAGGAAAATATTCAAAAAATATTCAATTTATCTGTGATATTTTAAAATTATGACTCAATTTATATAAATTCGTCTTAGAATAAGTTTTACAACTGATCAACATAAAAATAGAACATTGGTTTTCAAATCTGATATAAAAACTTCTGTAGTGAATCGGAAAATTGAAACCCAACAGTATAAGATTTATTTATAACATGGTTCAAATGAAATTTAAACTTGATTTGATTATTAAAGTAAACCCGAGGCATAATTTCAGTTTTTAAATAGGAGAGGGGGGGCAAACATAATTTTTAAAAAAAGACAAAAAATTTTGGTTCTTTTAGCTCAAAGATTAGATTTTATAATGTGAAAAACTAATTAAAAATTTTAACTAATAATTTTATACAAAAATCAAACTTTTCTACGTTATTTAAAAAGTGAAAAAAGTGTCCTTGAGTGAAATTTGTTTTATTTATTATTTTTGGAAAAACCATAAAAATTTTTTTTTTCATTTATATATATATTAAAATATTATATACAGAATGTTCAGTAAACAAGGAAACATGTCAATTGTTATAAACAACGATAATAATAAAACCTGATTCCTTACATACTGAACACTCTATATACTATTATATAAAACATAATATGTTTTATCCATTTAACACTAATTTGCTTACACGAGAACCAAATTATTTTATTTTCATTAGAAAATATTTAAATCATTTACACTTACTTGCGAAATGTATATGGTGTAAATAAAAAAATAGTCTACCGATATACATACTATTTTATTGAATGTTATTCTGTATCAATGATAGAGTAGTAAAATGGATGAGCCATAGCTATTGTTAACTGTCAAATGCACTCTAAAAAATAGATCGCTAAGACACTAACGCATGTGTATTGATAGCTGAGTTATAATAGATTATAGATTATATACTTGCTCAATGTGTTTATCGAGTGCTGATGTGAATAAAGTATAATAAAAGTAAATCTGTAACATCTAGTGATATAACCAAGTCTTTCGAAAATGTTTTATAAAAGTGTAGGAAATTAAATTTCAATTGTGCATTTATATATTTTTTTGGTTATTTTAAATTGATAGTATTTAATAATAATTATATTGTTTTATTTATATAATTAACTTTTTGAAATTGGCCGACCTCAAGTAGTTGGGATTAAGGCAAGGAAGAAGAAGAAGAATTAACTTTTTGAAATTAAATAACCTGTTATGAAGTTTATGCGATTTATTTATTAAAATCATTGAAAACCAATACAAATAAATATTAAGACCAAATGGCGGTATTGAATACTTTCAGATTATGTTCAAAGTTCATTGCAGTGTAAAATCAGCAGATAGAACGAACATTAAAATAAATTACGCTCATAATTACATTTTCCATAATAATTGACTACATTAGTATTTATAAATACCTACAGGTATTTATTATACCTAAATTTAATTAATTAAATATTAAAATTTATACTTTCTCGTTTCAAAGACATTGTCAATTTACTAAAAAGAAAATAATACACTTAAGATTAAGTAAAATATATTAACATTCTCAGTTTTTGTTTTAAATTTCAAATTAATTTTATGAAAAAATATTAATAAAAATTCTATTGTATATAAAAACAATTTCAATAATTCTTAGTTCATAATTCTTCAATAATTTAATATTAAGTAATTATTATTAGTACATTAATACAAATGTACTAGTATTGCAGAGATTATAATGTAAGAAAGTTATCCATGCTGAAAATTTGAAATAGGGTATAAGAATTCATCCGTACTAAATACAAAAAGAAGTCTGGTATTGTTATCGTGATTTTTGATAAATTGACGATGATGGGAATTCTTCTGGAAGCTTTGATTGCAATGGTCCATTAGGGATGAATATGAAAGCTGTGGATTATCGCATAGAATGTCTGACATTATTTCTAATTCTTGGTAATATTTCAATGTAAATTAAGATTGACAAAAAAAAAAAAAGCTAAATTTTAGTTCATGTTTTATAATACAACAGATTACAGAAAAAATAAAATTATATAAACGTATGATGTAATTCAGGGTATGTTTGAAAGCATCCGTACTATAGTAAAATATACGTGAAAAAACAGAGGATTTTAAGGTAAGAATAAATGTGCATCAAAGTTATGTTGTGTGTTCTTATCTATTATCTATATTAATAGGTAAAATTATTGAGGAAATATAAGGAAAGGTACCGTGATGCATGTTGTTTGCTGATGATATAGTGATAAAAAAAGAAAATAAGGTGGAAGTTAACTAAAAGCTTGAAATGTTAAGTTAACCTTTGAAGAAAAAGTATTAAAGATTAATAGAAGTAAGACGGAATATATAGAATATGAGTTTGACAAAAAAAAACACGATGGCGATGAAATGAGATAGAGAGTATTACCAATAAACAAAGATGTGATCGGTAAGATTATTTAAACTGTAGTGAGACTATGTTGTTTAGATTAGTGTGTTGGGTGGTTAACAATAAAGTAGAGCAAAGAATACATGCATCAGAGATAATAATGCTTAGAAGGATGAGTAGACTGGTGAGAGAAGATAAGGAATGAATACGTAAGGGAAAGTATAGGAGTAGCGTCAATGATATGGACATATTGAAAGAAATTTGGCTTAGATTGTTTGGTCACATTATGAAGAGATAGAAAAAGGAAGCTGTAATAACAGTTATGAAAATTAACGTTGAATGATGAAGAGGAAGAGGCCGACCAAAAAAGAAGCGATCGGATGAAATAGGAGGTAATATGAGGACTGCTAGTATGTATATAGATGATGCAGGAGATCGTGTCAAGTGGAGGTTTAGGATAAGAGGGGCCGATCTTAAGTAGTTGGGATTAAAGCGGGGGAGAAGAAGATGAAGAATCTAATTTATTTTAATATGTTGGGAATTTCTCGGTTTATTGTATAAAATCATTTTAAGGTTCAAGTAGTGAGCAATACATACATTATAGAATGTCACAAAGCATTAAGAATGTGGTAAGTAAACATTTATAGAATCGTAATAAATGACTTATCGTATTTAATTGAAAAGCTGTCAATGTGAAAACTAAATAAATAAACTCATAAATAATACAAAGTAAAGTTTTTATATCAAATAATAAATAGAGAATGATGTTGCTGATTGACGATTCTCAGTTTTAGAACTTAATATATTTTTATAAACTTACGTTAAATCGTATTCATGCAAGTATATTCTGACTTTATAGGTTTGTGACATAAATAAAGTTAAAGGAATGAGGATAAAAGCTGAAAACAAAAGAAAATAAGCCAAAATGTTTTCGAGCTTCTGAGGATAATTCAGTAATACATTATTTATACAAGTATTGTGTATTACATTTAAAAGACATGTATATTTTTTAATATATGCACAAAACATAACGTTGAAGTACAAAGTTGCGTTGTTTTATGATTTATATAAGAATTCATTTTTATAGATAAAACTGCTTATTTTATTACAAAATAAAATTGCATGAGTGACTTACTACTTGGATCAGTGTATTTACGAATTTTTTTGTTGTTTATGTAATAAAAATACCAGAAAAGTGATCAAATATGTTGTACAACATTTTATAATAGACATTTTTATAGGGATCGTAAAATAGACTTGCATTTGTTAAATATTTTACATATTTCATCGAGTCAACATAATTGACTAAAAATGTCATCATAGTAAGACATTCTAAATTCATTATTAAATTTGTGTTAACTGGCAAAATGTGATGATATTACATAGTGATAACGTTACTAGGTGTAAAGGTCACTATGAGTATAGAAAGTTTTTTTTTATATATTATATTTTTAATTTTACATAATTAGCAAGTAACAAGTGAATTTTTATTGTATAATATTAAAGAACTTACTTTCAACCTATACTGCTTTTGATTTTCATTTTTAAAGAACTATGTATTAAATTTTCCATTAACATTATCCCACGTTCTGCAGTATCATTAACTACACTTAAATGTTTTTGAAATCTTCAAAACTCTCAATATTTGTCAATTTCCCGGTTTTTAATGCAAAAAATACTGCTTAAACGGAATCTTTGAAAATGTTTTTAAAATTATATGTCAATAATTGGACTGGTAATTATTATTTTTTCTAATATTGAAACGTATTCTTATACAAATAATTTTTTTTTATAGAATATAATGTTTGAAAATAAATTGTATGTTATTTAGAATATCATCCATCTAATCAAATTAAGTTGGTTTAAACATTTTTTTTTTAAATAAATACCTGCTAAAACTAAGAGTTTTTAATTTTTTTAAATAAACTGTACCATTTGTTATAAGTTGTTTTATAAATCATGCGAATCGTAGATTAAGACTTATCTACATTATCATAGTTGCATTATCATAGTGTTATAGTTATGTAGAAGTGACTAAATTTATCATAAAATATAGATACAAATATTTACTGGGATCCTCAAATAAAAGGGGCCCATCGAATTTTTCACAGAAGCTCGCCGAGTCTATTCGATTTCTGGAAATGTA